TGTTGATTTTGATATCATATTTGTGTATGGATGATTTCCTACCTTTACTGTATGTTTGCCTTTACCAGTTAATTTTCCCATTTGTAATTTTCTCATTTCTTGTCGTGGGCTTTTCTTTTCCCCCTAGAGAAGTTCCTTTAGCATTTGTTGTAAAGCTGGTTTGGTGGTGCTGAATTCTCTTAACTTTTGCTTGTCTGTAAACCTTTTGATTTCTCCATCGAGTTGGAATGAGAGCCTTGCTGGGTAGAGTATTCTTGGTGGTAGGTTTTTCCCTTTTATCACTTTAAGTATATCTTGCCACTCCCTTCTGGCCTCAGAGTTTCTGCTGAAAAATCAGCTGATAACGTTATGGGGATTCCCTTGTACGTTATTTGTTGATTTTCCCTTGTTGCTTTTAATATTTTCTCTGTCTTTAATTTTTGTCAATTTGATTAACAACTTATTGACGGGCAATGTATTAATACATCTTTTGTTACCTGAACGTTATTGACCAGAGACGTATCAGTACATTTTTAGAAAGTGATACAATTAATATCACCGTGTGAAGTTGTTAGGGCTTAAAATTGATCAAGGGTTCATTATACAACTTGCGATTGTCATTATTATTCACGTTTTGCTCCATTAGGTTTTTGTTCCAACATTGTGTAAATTATAAATGCAAGTTTATTATCGTAAAATCTTCAAAAATTATGCATCATGAAATTTTGAGTGAAGAAGAATTTTTCAGTGAATTTTATGCAGATGCTTTCTCTGATTCTTCTAGTGACATATATACTAGTGTCTCAGGAGATGATAGTTCTTCAGAATATAGTTCTGATTCAGCAGATGTGAATATTAGACCAACAAAAAGACAAAAAACCTTAGTGATTGATTCTGATACAGAAAATGAAAATGAAACTCACACTGCTGGATAATGCTTCTTTGCTTCTACAGAAGAGTGGGTTGAAGGCAACATTTCACAAAAATTAGAAGACTTTACGGGTGTGTCAGCTGTAACTATTGAATGTAATAACCCACAAAGTGTTAGTGAAATAGCAGAATTAATTTTTGGTAACGACTGTTTCAAGTTGGTTGCTTCTCAAACAAACTTGTATCACCAACAGAATGAAAAATCATAAAAAGTATGATAAGGCTTTAAAATGGACTGATGTAAGCAATAGTGACATGAAGAAGTTTCTTGGATTAATAATTTTGATGGAACAAATAAGAAAGTCACACTGGAAAGAATATTGGTCGACTGACCCCTTGCTTGAAACACCTATCTTTCCAAAGATTTTGACGAGAAGAAGGTTCAAACAAATAATGACATTTCTTCACTTTAATGATAACTTGGAAACTCCACGTCCTGCAGACAGAATTTCAAAAGTTAAATCTCTTTTGGATTGTTTTCTATGAAAATTTCAATCGATCTATGTACCCAAACAAGAGCTATCACTTGAGGAGGCAAAGATAAAGTGGAGAGGACGACTCAGATTCAAAACCTATAGTCCGGGCTTCCCTGGTGGTGCAGTGGTTGAGAGTCCGCCTGCCGATGCAGGGGACATGGGTTTGTGGGAAGATCCCACATGCCGCAGAGTGGCTGGGCCTGCTGAGCCTGCGCATCCGGAGCCTGTGCTCCGCAACGGGAGAGGCCACAACAGTGAGAGGCCCGCTTACCGCAAAAAAAAAAACAAACCTATAATCCCAGAAAACTTACAAAATATGGAATTTGGGTCAGGATGGTTAGCAAAAGTGAAACTGGATATACATGCAGTCTTGAGATTTACATGGGTGAAGGAAAGAAACTGCAAGAAACAATATTATTGGTCCTACAACCTTATCTTGGTTCATGGCACCATATTTACAAAGACAGTTATTACAGCTGTGTCCACATCTGAAATATTGTTGAAAAATAAAACCAGAGTTTGTGGGACTATAAGAGAGAATTGTGGTCTATTAAACCAATTAAAGGAGAAATCTAAAAATCTACAGATGGGAGAAATGACATTCTTACAGAAGAGAGAAGTGATTCTTCTTATTTGGAAAGACAAGAGGCTAGTCCGCATGGTGACAACTATTCATGACGCCTCCATAGCATCTACAGGAAAAGAAGACAGGAGGACTGGCCATCAGATAACTAAGCCCACTTGTATATAGAGTATAATAAATATATGAAAGGAGTTGATTGATCTGATCAAATCTGTCCAACTTCAGTGTCCTCTGGAAAACTCTAAAATGGTATAAGAAACTGGGGTTCTTTTGAGTAATTGCAGTTTATTCAATGTGTTTAAAATTTATTGTAGCCTTAATGCACAGAATAAAATGACTTACAAGTAATTTTTATTAGCTAGACAATGGGTAACTGACCATTCTGGTGAATGTAGTGGTAGTCCCGCACCTGGTCCTTCTTGTGGCATTTCCAAAAGAGCCCCCTGCAAAGATCCACCTTGTCAACTATCAGGTAAAATAAAAACATATTCTAGAGGAAATAATACCCACAGGACTAAAAAGAAGTGCCGCCAGAAAGTGTAGCATCTGCTCTTTCAGGGGAAAGCACAGTGAAACACAGTATGTTTGTAATAGATGTTCTGTTCCCCTGCACAGAGGTGCCTGCTATACTGCCTATGACACTCTTAACAAAATATTAGAATGCTTTAGTAAGACATGTACAAAGTTTCAAATAAATACATTAAGTGCAAAAAAAAGTTGTCAGTATTTACTCAAATGCTAGTGTTTCCATATTCACTTACATAACAAATTGCCAGCCACCATCATTAGCTTCTGCAAAAAGCCCCTGGTCAGTAATGTGTTAACATGTGTCTTAGCATGTTCCTCCTTGGGTTTATCCTGTATGAGACTCTCTGTGCTTCCTGGACTTGGATGACTGTTTCCTTTCCCATGTTAGGGAAGTTTTCGGATATTATCTCTTCACGTATTTTCTCAGGCCCTTTCTGTCTCTCTTCTCCTTCTGGGACTCCTAAAATGCAAATGTTGGTGCGTTTAATGTTGTCCCAGAAGTCTCTTAGGCTGTCCCCATTCTTTTCATTCTTTTTTCTTTATTCTGTTCTGCGGCAGTGATTTCCACCATTCTGTCTTCCAGCTCACTTATCCATTCTTCTGCCTCATTTATTCTTCAGTGGATTCCTTCTAGTGTATTTTTCATTTCAGTTATTGCATTGTTTATCTCTTTTTGTTTGTTCTTTATATCTTCTAGCTCTTAAACGTTCCTTGTATCTTCTCGATCTGTGCATCCATTCTTTTTCTGAGATCTTGGATCATCTTTACTGTCATTACTCTGAATTCTTTTTCAGGTAGACTGCCTATCTCCACTTCATTTAGTTGTTCTTCTGGGGTTTTATGTTGTTCCTTTGTCTGGAACATATTCCTCTGTTGTCTCATTTTGTCTGACTTTCTGTGTTTGCGATCCCACAGGCTGCAGGATTATAGTTTGTCTTGCTTCTTGTGTCTGTCTGCTGGTGGATGAAACTGATCTAAGAGGCTTGTGCAGGCTTCCTGGTAGGAGGGACTGGTGCTGACCACTGGTGGGGTCTTGTCTGTCTCGTGGACAGGGCCATGTCAAGGGGTGTGTTTAGAGGTGGCTGTGGGCTCAGGAAGACTTTAAGCAGCCTGTCTGCTGATGGATCAGGCTGTGTTCCTGCCCTGTGGGTTGTTTGGCCTGAGGCATCCCATCACTGGAGCCTTCAGGCTGTTGGGTGGGGCCAGGTCTTGGCATCAAAATGGCAGCCTCCAGGACAGCTCATGCCAATGATTACCCAGTACCTCTGCCACCAGTGTCCTTGTCCTTGTTCCCGCAGTGAGGCACAGCTGCCCCCCACCTCCCCAGGAGACTCTCCAAGACCAGGACGTAGGTCTGGCGCAGGCTCCTCTGCAGTCACTGCTTTTTCCCCTGGGTCCTGGTGTACACGAGACCTTGTGTGTACCCTCCAAGAGTGGCGTTTCTGTTTCCCTCAGTCCTGTGGAGTTCCTGTGATCAAGCCCCCCTGGTTTTCAAAGCCAAATGCTCTGGGGGTTCCTCCTCCCAGTGCCAGACCCCCAGACCAGGGAGCCTGACCTGGGCCCAGAACTCTCACTCCTGTGGGAGAACTTCTGCAATATAATTATTTTCCAGTTTGTGAGTTGCCCACCCGGCAGGTATGGGATCTGACTGTGTCGTGAATGTGCCCCTCCTACTGTCTCATGGATTCTTATTTATCTTGGGAAGTAGAAGATCTTTTTTGGTAGGTTCCAGTCCTTTTTTGTCAATGGTTGTTTAGTAGTTAGCTGTGATTTTGGTGTTTTCATGAGAGGAGGTGAGCTCAGGTCCTTCTACTCCACCATCTTGTAGAGATCTATCTAAATTTGCTTTTTAAAGATTTATTATACTGTCAGACTTGTGATAGTCTTACCATTCTTCTACCCAGAAGTTAGGAATCTCTAGGAATGTACTTTTGGCTCTCTGAATGTATTACAGGCTTAGAAGCATGTACTTTTTAGTTAATCACTTGCTTTACAAAGCTAAATCATTTAAACCTATTTTTTATTTTTAATTATATTTTAACAAACTTAATTTTTGAATTGGTGATACATTTACATGGTATGAAATTCAAAGATACAGAAGAATATACGATGAAAAATCTAATTCCCACCCCTAACTTCCATTTAACCTGTTTCCTTCCTTGTAGCCAGCTATCATTAGCAGATACCAGTGTGCCCTTCTGGAGATGGCCTACATACATTCAAGCAACATGTATTTGTACTTCCTTCCACTCTCTTCTATAAAAATTGTAGTTGTTTAATTCTACATACCATTCTGTTCATTGTGTTATATTTAAAGAAGGGAAGAGGATAAAGCAGCACATTATAATCAACTATAAACCTTTTAATAAAAATATTTAATTTTCATTACTGTCACATAATATGTACTTTGTAAGTATTCTCTTCTTTGACAGCTTTGAGTAGAAACTTCTGGTTTTCAACATGTGATGCTATGGATGGGAGTTTATTTGACATTTTTTTTGTAGAGTGAGCTCCAACTGCGTAAAGAAGTAGAGACAAGGCAGCAACTGGAACAAGCATTAGGCGATCATCGAGAGCTGATTGATGCTCTGACAGCTGAAGTTCTTCTCCTTAGAGAAGAAAATACTGCTGCCCAGGTACTTAGATGAGATCCCAAACTTTTCTGTGTTTAGTAGTATAAAGCATTTTTATGGATGTATGAGATTCTCTTCTTTGCCTTTGATTTACTTGTGCTGGCATGATTACTTACTGCTTCTTTATTATCATCAAGAGTAACTTTTATGGCACATTTATTATATTGGAGGTAGTATAGTAGAAACTTGGACTACAGATAGTGTAGAATAAGGCTACTGTCTTTAAGAAACTTACTATTTATTGGGGAAGACAGAATCTACATTTAAATGATAACTACCAATATTATAATAGTTTATCCAAAATATGAAATGAGTGTTATGATAGCTACTTTTCATCTCAAAATAGCAGAGGATACCCTTTGAGGAACCCTCCTATAACATACGCTGTTTAAAGTTGTTTATAGTATCTTCAGTATCTTTATTCATCTTTTTGTTCTCAAATAGTGGTTATTATTACCTTTACTTAACAGCCAAAAGAGACTAGAAAATCAGTAGTTAGTAGACAAGTTATGTTTGTGTCAATGGACATTAGATATAACACATGCAATTTTTTTTATTGATGTATAGTTCACATACCATTTAACTCACCCTTTTAAAGTGTGCAATTCAGTGGTTTCTTAGTATATTCATGGAGTTGTGTACCAGCACCATTAGATAAGTCCAGAGTATTTTCATTAACCCAAAGAGAAACCCCATACTAATTAGCATTCACTCTCCATTCTCTCTTCCCCTCAACCCCTGGTAACCACAAATATACTTTATGTTTTTATAGATTTGCCTAATCTGGATATTTTATATAAGTGGAATCATGCAATATGTGGTGTTTGGTATCTGGCTTCTTTCACACAACATAGTGTTTTCAGGGTTCATCCATGTTGTCACATGTATCAGTACTACATTCCTCTTTATTGCCCAATAATATTCTAAATATATGCTCTACCACATTTTGCTTATCCATTCATCAGTTGAAGGACATTTGAGTTGTTTCCACTTTTTGTGTGTAATGAATTAATAATGCTGCTATGGACATTCATGTACAAGTATTTGTGTGAACATATATTTCAATTCTCTTAGGAAGATAGTACACTTTTCAAGTATACTAATATGTTCAACAAATCTTTATTGAGCACTTACTGTGGGCCTGGAACTGTTCTAGGTGCAGGAAATACAGTAATGAACGAAAAAAAAATCTTGGCCCTCAAGGAGCTTATATTCTAAATAAACACACCCCCAAATAGTGAAGTATATTGTAAGTTAGATGGTTATTATGTACTATAAAGAAAAATAAAGCAGGTAAGAGGCATAGGAAGTGCCCAAGGTGGGAAGGTATAAATAGGATGGCCCATGTCTGTCTGAGGAGGTGACATTGAGTAAAGGCCTGAAGGAGGTGAGGAAGCGAGGATGCTGATAGCTGAAGGAAGAGCACTCGAGGCAGAGGAACAGCAAGGGTAAAGGTCCTGAGGTGGGAGCATGGCTATTGAGCTCAAAGCCATCAAGGAGACCAGGGTGGCGGGAGTGGGATGTGGCAGAGGGAGCGCAGGAGGAGACAAGATCAGGGAAGCCAGATCACATGGGGCCCTGCAGGCTGAGTGAGGACTTGGGCTTTTGTTCTGAATGAGATGGGAAACCACTGAAGGGTTTTGGATAGAGAAGAGATGTGATCTGACTTAAGTTTTAAGAGAATCACTCTAGGCTGTCGTGTTGAGATTAGATCAGAGATCACTGCCCTAGCTCCATTCAAGCCCTTAGTGCCTCAGGACACTCCTAGACCAAAGAAATACCCAACAGTTCCATTTATTAAGTAGTTAGGTTCAAACAACTTAATAAGCATTTATGTCTTAACAGCTTGGATGCTGTGTGAAAAAAATAATACATGTAAATTGATAGAAAAAGTCTTATTTTTATCATGATTAAATAACCAGTTATTTACTAATGGAATATGTATACATGTTGTACATGAAACATTGTACAGCTTCTCATAGCTTAGAATCATATTGGACACCATCAGTCTTATTTCCTATTCACAATCATTTTTATGCAGTGTTGCTTTTTAGCACAGCAACTAATGAAAACTCAGCCTCACGAAGATATGACATCATCAGAAGGAATGTATCTTGACCTGATGTTGAATCTGTAAACACTTTAAGCTTGTAGGCAATGTCCCCTGCATTGACAGGTGGATTCTTAACCACTGCGCCACCAGGGAAGCCCCTTAATATATTTTGAAGTCAACCAGTAGAATGTGCCAATGGATACGATATGGGGTGAAGGGGAAGATGTGAGAGAAGAGTCAGGAGTTTTGGCCTGAGCAGTTAGAAGGATGGAGTTTTTATTGATGAGGTGGGGATGTTCAGGAGGAGTTTGGTTTTGTATATTTTAAGTTTGAAAAGCCTATGTGAGTTCCTGGTGGAGATGTTGAGTAGGCCACTAGATATATGAGTGTGGAATTTGGGAAAAATTTGGGCGGATATAAAAATGTTTAGTATACTTCATTCAGCAGTCCTACTAATAATATTTCTGACTTCTGACCACATCTGATTTTCATCTAATGTCTATTCATCTTGGAGATATCTATGTCTGTTTGTGTATATACCATTGGCCCTTGAACAACACTAGTTTGAACTGTGCTGGTTCACTTATACATGAATTTTTTTCAATAAATATGTACTACAGTACTATGCAATCTGTGGTTGGTTGAATCCACAGATGCAGGACCTCAAATATGGAGGGCCAACTGTAAAGTTATACATGAATTTTCACTGTGCAGAGGGTTGATGCCCCTAATTCCTGTGTTCAAGTGTCAACTGTAATATATATACATATGTGGTATAGATATATATACATATATAGATATATATGTATATATATATGTAGTCTTTTAACACTATTTTATATACATTACCATAAATTTTTATAATGCTCATGTTTATCAGTTTAAATGTCTATATAATATTCTGTTGAGTTTCCTCCACTTGATGTATCTCTCAGGGTAGCTCGAGAGTCAGTAGTGTATCATCTATATAAAGAGATTTTGTAAATTGAAAGCCCTATGAAAAGGTTAATTCTTATCGTTGTAGCAGTGTATTTATTAATTAATAATATTCCGTGATTTATTAGACCATTGTTCTATCATGGAATTTTAAAAATATTTATAATTATATGTTTTAATGAATGCATTGTTTTAGTATTTGAAAGTCTGAAATGATATAGTTATACATACCTAGGTGATGATTTGTTGTCTGATATGCCAATGATATTATTTTGTTCGTTCTTCTCTAGGCAAGACTTCAGCAGTACATGATCACAACAGATGAGCAGCTTATATCACTCACACATGCCATTAAGAACTGTCCTGTGATAAATAACAAAGAAAGTCAGACATTAGAAAGGGGAGCCACAAGTAGAAATATGGACAGTCTAGGTGAGTGGAATAGTCTTATTATCCCAGATTGGGATTAAAATACTTATAGAGAAAAAAAAACTGTAAACTTGTATGTAATTATTGGCTGTTTATGCATAAACAGCATTAACACTATTACATTTGCCACTGCTACTTCCAACTAATATTTATTGGATACTTGCTCTATGCCAAGTACTTTTACAGTGTTTTACATGTATTATCTCGTTTAATCCTCATAATATAGCTTTCATTTAATTTTCAAGAGTTCTTCACTCAGTTTTATGAGGTAGGTGTCATTGTTACCCCCCATTTTTTAGATGAGAAAACTAAGGCTTAGAGAAAGTGTTGGTAACTTAGCAAAGTCACACAAATAGAAAGTAGAAGAACTAGCCTCCTAGACATGTGGGAATTTAATACCAGCACCTTTCATTATGGTGCCCCAGGTTCAGAAGAGGACGGGATGGTCATGGAAAGAAAAAAAAATACTGACTTTCAGAAATTCATGACTTTAGTTCATTTGTGGTGATGCTTTGAAAACCTTTTTTTCACCTCATGTGCCATCATTGTATGCCATAGGCTGAATAGGACATTTAGGAGTTTTTACTTCTAAGTAATAATTTTGATGAGTGTCTCTGTGTGGAAAGAGTTTTATGTATTTAGGCGCATTTTCTTTCTTTTTTTTTTTTTTTTTTGCGGTACGCGGGCCTCTCACTGTTGCGGCCTCTCCCGTTGTGGAGCACAGGCTCCGGACACGCAGGCTCAGCGGCCATGGCTCACGGGCCCAGCCACTCTGCAGCATGTGGGATCTTCCCGGACCGGGGCATGAACCCGTGTCCCCTGCATCGGCAGGCAGACCCTCAACCACTGCACCACCAGGGAAGCCCTAGGCGCATTTTCTTAGAAGGGATTCTAAGTGGCTGACTCTAAAATTTAACTTGCAGGAGATAAACTCAATGGTGAGGGTGGGTCTTCAAGGGCAGTGCTTTTCTCAAAAACAGCCACTCCTTCCCAGTGCTGGCCCCCCAGGAGCTTTGCCTGTGAGGGACTGCTAAATGAGCATATGGACTAGAAAGTGAAGGCTCCCGAGGCCCCGTGATTTTGCCCTCTGTGGAAATGCATCTAAGTATAAACACCTGAAATGTGCTCATAATTCCTTTGAGTACTCATAGCCTCTCATCTTCTTCAGAGGGTCCAGCTGTAAATGCTAATGTCTCCGTGCCATTGATGTTCAGAGGGGAAGATGTGGTTGAATTGCCACAGGAAGATTTGCCTGTTAAACTGTCTCAGGTGCCAAACCCTCCAGAAAGCAGGAATCTGGCCAGCAATTTTCCAGGGCATATATTTGAGCCAGCGGTATTGTTAACACCACCCAGGCAGAAGAGCAACTCAGAATTCTGTCCTTTGCAGGATGGTAAGCAGGCTTCTTTTAAAGCTATAAGGCAGCTGTTTTTTTATGCTTCATATATGTAAAATATTGTGTTCATTTTTCCCTGATAAACAGAATTTTAAAAGATACTGATTACCATACCTAATCTTTAAGCTGAAGGAGGGTCTTTCAGGGTGGTTTATATCATGTGTATTACACTTATGGTGAAATGTGACAGTGAATTTCATTATGTATCTGTTCCATCAGACATTGTAAATATTAATTGAACTCAGATCAAAGGACCAAAGTCCTCAGCAATAAAATGCAGAGTAAGGGGAATCCCATTTGTGTCTATGGTCCAGGGGCACAGGAAGGGGTAAGAAACAAGGGGAGATTGTACTTCGGAGAGTAAGGAAAGTTTAACCAAGGAAAGACAGGAACTGTGACTTAGAGGATTTTGTAAGTCAGATCTGATTATTAACCTCTTTTTTAGAAAAAGTTTTTAGCTCAGTCAGCTTGGAGAATTTTATAATGAAAGCCTATGTATAATTAAAAGTAGCTTTAGAATTACTTTTGCAGCATATATAAAGAGAACTTTGAATAATATTTTAAAAATTTATTATTAATCCTTCGCTCATAGATTCTTAAAACTTGGAGCTCATGGATGGTCTTCAGATGTTCCATGGACTCCTTCACTGTTTGGAAAATTATGTTTATTTGTCCACATGTACATTTTTCTGGAGCTATAACTTTCATTTCATTTTCAGAAGAGTTCTTCAATCAAAAAAACTACCTTAGATGTTCCTCCAAAGTTTTTAGAAAAATGTTATTCAGCCCTGATTTGCCTAATTTTTTCTTTCTTTAAAAAGAGTGTTTATATTTTTATGTAGAGGAACAGAAGAATAATTTTTATTGTCATTAGGACGTACAGAATTTGTCAGATTTTCTGCACTTCGTTTCCCTTAGAGGACGTGAAAAGACCATAAGAGGTTAAAGAAAATGACAAATCCTTGCTGTTATAAAATTTGTTTTAGCATTTACAATGCAAATGTAGAGTTTGTCAGATCTGTGTGGTGCAGGGGGACAGCGCTAGGCTGAGGGTCAAAAGTGCTGGAGTCTTGGCCTGCCGGTCCAGTGACTAGCTGTCGTCATGGGGCTAAGATACCTCTCCTGGACTTTAGTTTTCCTGTCTCTCAAATGAGAGTCTTTTCCTTTATCTTTAATGTCCTTCCAGCTCTACAGTGCTGTGATTTGATATTTCCTCTTTAGAGGTCTAGTAAGTATTATTAACATTGGCTAGATTTATGAAATATAATTTCAATTCTGATTTCTGTTCAAGTTAGCTTTCATTCCTTAAAGTAATTTTTCAAATGTTTGCATGTTATTAATGGGCTTGCCTAATGATCTCTTATGAGATATTGTAAATTATTTTTCATTGGTGATAACAAGGTAGCTTGAAATCCTTTTAAAGAAATAATTATAATAAATATTTTTACTCTGCAAATATATTAACTGTTTGTGAAAGCAAATTATTCAGGGATTGCTCTAGACAACATTTTGTTAGCATCTTCAGCAGGTTCTGCATTGAAAATAACACTGCACATTTCTTTTACAGTGTGCAGATAGAACTACCTTGGAATATGTATTCTGAATTGGTGAAGTTTTATTAACATACTTTTCAGCATTTTCTTTGGAATGCTCACATGTAAAGAGTTGTTCAGTTAAACTGAACATGCAGACAGAGATGAGAGGTACATAGGGTGCATCATCAGTATTCAGTTATGCTCTAGAACAACTGTTCAATAGAACTTTCTGTGATGATAAAAAATGTTCTGTATCTCCCCCATTTAATATGGTAGCCACTATTAGCCTTCTGGGACTGCTGAGAACCTGAAATGTGGCTACTGTGACTGATGGAACTGAATTTTAAATTTTATTTAATTTTAATTAAAGTTTGAATATGAATAGTCACGTATAACCAGAGGCTGCCATATTGGACAGTGTTGTTCTAGAATTTCCCATCATAAATACTTTCCTTTAGCTACTAATCAATTTCTACTTTCTTTTATAACCATGCTTCTTGAAAGAGTGGTATACATATGCTGTTTTCGCTTTCTTATCTTCCATTCACTTTTTAAAGTATTAATTTAATTCATATTTGCAGGTGGTTAAAAAAAGCACATACAAGGGTCTCCTCCTCCTCCACCTCTAGGCCTACCGCAAGAGGCAGTTATTTTTATCCCAGTTTGATTTCTGTTTATCTGATGGTGGTCTTAATAATTAACATAAAATATTTTCACATCTCTTGAAGTATCAACTTTACACAATCATTATAGACTCTCCCTTATTAAAGAAGAGGGTTTAATTCATCTTAACACCTGCCTCTCTTCTCTATCTAATTTGGATAATTATGTTTTTATTTTTATTTCTTCTGTTGCAGAACTTCATGACTTTAAATACTTTCTATTTCTTTTTCATTAACTTCAGGCAGTATCTGTTAGCTCTCTGCTATGAGAGGAGAACACTAACTCCCCTCCCTTCTTTCTTCCTCTCCTTTGTTTCCACCTCCCATCTTCAGTCACCTTTACCTTTCCTTTGGTAGTATCAAGTTTGTTAACATTTACAATGTTCCATTACCATTATATCTTCTCTGTCTCATCTATAGATGGATACTGACATTGAAAACAAATAACAATTACATTTTCTTTTTGGGTTCATTGTTACTATCAGTCCTTGTGCCACACAAAAGGAAAAAGTTCATAGTATGAAGGTCAAGGTGAATTCTTATTTCACTTCATCATTTGCTCAGAATGTTTTATTTGGCTCTGTGTTTATACTGTGATTTTCTTGTTCTGTTTTTATTTTGCCTGAAGATTCAAATTGCTTTTATCGTCTTGTTGACAAAAGTATAATGTGCCTTCACCCATTTCATTTGCACGTCCTTTAGTCATTCCACTTTGATACCAGAGATACCTTCCCAGAGCCCGCCAACCTCTGTTCCAGTCTCAACGGATTGCTTCCTGGGCCTGTTGCACAGCTCTTATCCTGGGACTTGCTGTTATCACACTTTTTAAAAAAATATTTATTTATTTTATTTTTGGCTGTGTCAGGTTTTAGTTGTGGCACACAGGATCTTCGTTGAGGCACGTGGGATCTTTCGTTGTGGCGTGTGGACTTTTCTCGAGTTGTGGCATGCAGGCTCCAGAGCGCGTGGGCTCTGTAGTTGTGGCACATGGGTTCTCTAGTTGTGGCTTGTGTACTCAGTAGTTGCGGCACATGGGCTTAGTTGCCCCGCAGCATGTGGGATCTTAGGTCCCCCACCAGGGATTGAACCTGCGTCTCCTGCATTGGAAGGCAGATTCTTAACCACTGGACCACCAGGGAAGTCCCTGTTATCACACTGTTGGTTTGGATCTGCTGCGTCCTAGATTCCATTTCTTCCTCTTTTTTGGTTTTCTCCCTCAATTTTCTGAAAGAAGACATCAGAAGGGGTATATAGAAGGTAAACTTTGAGTTTTTGAAAATCTGAAAATATTGTCATTTTTCTCTTATACTTGATTGATGATTTGGCTAGAAATAGAATTCTAGGTCCTTAGCCCCTTTTCCTGAGAAATTAAAGGCATTGTTCCATTGATTTTTATTATCCAGTGTTGCAGTCAAGATGTCTGATTTCATATCGAAATTTTATTTCTTTGTATTTTTGACCTACTCTTTCTCTGTGGAAGCTTTTAGGATCCCTTTATTTTTATTCTGAAATTGCACAGGGTGTATCTAAATGTGGGTTTTTTCCTCATTACTGTGAGGCACCCGTGGGACCTTTCCGTCAGAAGACATGACTTTCTGCAGTTTGGAGAAATTATATGTTGACCTTCTGGATTATTTTCTCATGTATTTGGCCTTATATCTTCCTTCTTATATTTTGGAAGTATTTTTCACTTTATATTCAAGCCTGACTTTTACATTTTTGTATTTCACCAACCATATTTTTAATTTCCAATCAAGGACCCTTTCTTATTTTCTGATTGTCCTTTTTTCCAGTGCTGCTCATTATGAATGCAATATCTTCCAGAAACTCTCTTCCGAGGAAACCAGTTAAAATTTTGTTACATTTTCCTCTGTACCTGAATTTTCTTTCTTCTCTTCTTAGTCTGTTCTATTTATCTATCCTGGCTTTTCTTTTTTGTGCTGCTGGCTTTCCTCAGTGTCTGGTCATCCTTTATTGTCCATTCATATTTAAGAATAAATGACTAGGTTGAATAGTATAGGTAGCTGGCATAAGTTTTCTCCTCTATGATGTAGGTAAGGCTAGGTCTGTTTTCCCAATATGTTTTGCCTTAAGTAGTTGCTTTGCGCATATGGGCATGAGATGTTAACTGCAGGCTTCCTGTAGCATATGGAAGCAGGATCCAGCTATCCAATTGCGTCTACCACATTTGCTCTTCCCAACCCTGTTTTTGTTGTTGTTGTTGTTTTCAAGGATGGGTGTCAGAAGTTGTGAGCAACAGGTTGACTGACATCACTGTATAAAAGACAGGCCTTCAAGTAATTCCCCAGTTTAGCCCTACTTTTCTCTTTCTCTGTACCTGTCAGCTTTGAGCCTGCAGCCTTTTCAGTACTCCCCAAAAGAAACTGGCTTTACCTGTAGCTTCCTTTTAATTAATAGACATATTCTGGACTGTGGCTTCTGCACAATTTCATTCTTTCACACACTTCCCATCCACTCTCAGTCTTCCAGAAATGTGTTGAAATATCTAGTTTGCTACTGCTTCTCCCCAGACCATTATCTTTACTGGTGTGAGTTTATTTGTGTTTATATTTCCTTACTGTCAGTTAAAGAAGGCGAGATAAATGTATGCTCAGTCTGTAGTCTTGAAATAGAAGCATCTATTCCCCCGATTCACTCCCATATTTGTCATTCTACCTAAATCACTCTTGCTAAGGGCTCCAGTGGCCAATGTGTTGTTAACTCCGCTGTACGCTTTCTGTCCTTATGTTTCTAGGTCTTACACTAATATTACACACAGTTAACCACTGCCTCTTTGTTTCCTTGAAACCACAGTCTTGTAATATTTCTTTGTCTTTCTGGCTGCTCCATTTCAGTCTGCTTTGCTAGCTTCTCCTCCTTTATCTGACTCTAAATGTTGAGTTCTTCGTGTCTTGTTACTGGTTTCTTCTCTCACTCTATTCTTTCTCTCTAAATAATCTCACTCGTTCTTGTGGCTTCCATAAGATGTTACGGAAAAACCCGAATGAACTTTTTGGCAAACCCAGTATATGCCCAGTGACCTCCAGTTTTGGATCTTAGCCTAGATAGTCTCTTAAGTTTCTGACCCATGTTTCATCTGCTTGGATGGATATATAGGCACCTTAAACTTAGCATGTTCAAAACAATTCTTAATAATCCTCCTTCCACCAAATCTGTTCTCCTTGTCTTCTCCATGTCAGTAAATGGCATCACCATCGATTCACTTGTGCATGCCATCTTGCTCTGTGCGTTTCCCTCACTCCCTACTTTCAGTTCATCACTCTCAGTTCTATTGCCAAAATATTTCTCAAATGTATCTACTTCTCTCCATCTTTATAGCAAACATACCTTAGTCAAAGCTACCATCATCTTTCTTCTTGACTACTACAGCTGCTTATTGGTCTCCCTACTTCTATTCCTGGACCTTCCAATTATCGACAGAATTTAAGAAATGTAAATTATGTAAATTGAGTCATTCCCAAACCTCCAGGTTTCATTGCTCTTGGATTAAATTATAAAATTTCTAACGTGGCTTTTAAAAGCTCTGCAAGAAATGGCCCTGTATGCCTGTCTGGTTTCATATACTCCCAGTTCTGCCTTGTTGCTATGCTACAGCCAGACTGGCCTCCTTTCTTTGCTGTTTCCTATTTTGGGGCCTTCACATATGTTGTCCTCTCTGACTGTAATGTTCTTTGCTCTACTTTCTGTCACATATGTAATCATTTAATAACTTTACTTCTTCTGAGATGTTTCCCCTGCCCATCCCCAGTTTACATTATATATCTATACTCCCCCCAAGATTCCCAGGTATGAGTTAATATATGTGTTAAAATGTGAACTTGGTAGATGGTTTTTCACAAGGATGCCGATAAAGCTCTAAGGAATATAAAAGACTCTGTACTTCATTGTTAGCGCTGGTATTGCTGGTAAGTTCTCTGCTAAAATAAATGAGGCATTCAGAAACCAAATCCTTCTATTGAAATATTTCTCTAACTAGTAAGGAGGGCTAATGAGATGATTATAGTGCCAACTGTGGTTAAGTGGTACATGTTTCTTATGCTTTAATTTTATCTACAGTATTGAGGAGGACTGCTCAAACTCGTCCTGCCCCACGAATTCCTCCAACCGTGGAAATAATTGAGAAGGAACAAAACTGGGAAAAGAAGACCGTACCTACTGGCACAGACATTCAGAATTCAAGTGAAGAGAGTCATCGCTTTACTCAGAGGTGGAGGGCCTCTCACATGGGAGAAGATTTGCAGAACAAAACCCAGGCTCCTTTTGTTAACCCCTCACAGCCCCTCTGCAATTCCCGTTCAAGCACTCAGCAATCAAGAAACCCCGCACTCTCAGAAGAACCCCCAGTATTGGGAGATGGGCAGCAGCTTAGAACAAATGAGACATTAATACAAAGAAAGGACATCATGGCACGAATTGCTGAGTTGACACTGCAGAATTCAGCTATCAAGGCACACCTGAATAATATTATTGGGCCAGGGGGAGAGCAAGGGGATGGACTTCGGGAGTTTAACAAACAGGAGACGAGTCATGCCAGCAACATGACCTCTGTGAGTACTAGTTAAGGACTGACTACAGACATATTGGTATTTAAGTATATTGCTGGAGCATCCAGAAATGACCCTGGTGCTTGAAGCTGGTACTAGATGGCTTATGCTGTGTCGGGTCCTCATCACAAAATAAGTAGAGGTTGTTTATCAGTTTATGTCACACATGCATTAAAAGAGTACAACATAAAATTTAAAATGGGGAAATGAATGAGGAAAATAGGACAAAAGTAAAACAGGTAGGAAAGCTAAAATTAAGCTAGGAATGGAGTTTTAAATATGATATATAGAATAAATATGTCTTGAAAGTTTACCACATAACTGTTTTAATTGAAATCATTTTTACTCTTAAAGGGGCTCATAAAAGAGAATTGTGTGTAGTTGGCCCTCAGCTCGTGAGTAGTTAATTTTTTAGGACACAGAATGCATTTTCCCTTAGAAATGATGTTTTAAAGAATATTAAAGTCAGGCTTTAATGTACATACTAATCATCTGGGAATCTTGCTAAAATGCAGACTCTGATTGAGTAGGTCTGAGGTAGAACCTGTGCGTTTCTAATAAGTTCCCAGGTCATGTTGGTCCAAGGATTACACTTTGAGGAGCAAAAGTCTGCATGTTGTAGTGCTGGAATTTTGTAAGTTACGTAACTGAGGGCTGACCTGGCAACGTGAACCTTCATTTCCTTGTTTGTGGGGAGCAAAGGGATTCTAAGTTCTGGTTGTGGAGTGTTGATAACACATGCCCTCATGCAGATCCCAGTGACGGGAGAGTCTTCCTTTTACCCTGTCATGAGCCAATGTGGCGCCTCTCAGAGTTCTGATGGGAGGCGGGGCTGTGGGAAGGAACTGGCCAGCTTCATGGATTAGGGGTTCCAGAGTGATCGCTTCCATAGGGGCTTAACCAACTGTGGATTGAGGGCTTCCATGAGGAAGGTTAGGAGAGGGTGGGGGTAAGGGCCATCTCTGTCAGCACTGGCTCATGGGCAATAAGGGCAATACAGGTATCGAGTGACAGAAATAGCAGTCAGAAGGGACTGGCAGAAGAAGCCGAGACGGAGATTAGGAGTGATCGTTTCAGTTGTATGTAAGTTCAAGCTGCCTCAGTTTTAGTCAACAGAGACGTTTCTGTGTATGCAGAGTTTTGAAGTTTATTTGAAACATGTTTTTTAAACATGGTTTAAAAAAGCCACAGAATTAAAAATGGAGCTTGCCCCCTTTTCCGATTAGTACAACAGTTGGGCTGGAGAGGACGATCCAGTACTATTGCCCTCACCACCCTTTTCATTATAATCAGAATTACAACATGATTTTTAATTCATGCTGTTTTGCTTATCTCTTTTTTAACTAGCAGGCATAAGCTACAAATTAGTGACTTCTAGTAGGAATTGTTTTTCCCCAAAGGGACATATTTACTAAATGAAGTACTTAAGAGTGACATTCCTTTCAGGAATTTTCAAATCAAACTTAACATTACATTCCTTGGGTGGCTCCTTTTTACTCTACCTCTCATATTCCTTTCCAGTCACCAGCCTTCTCGAATCAGGTATATTAGGCCAAAAGTGGCCTGGGTAGGGTGACACATGGTCAGAAGGAGTGATAAGATTCCTAGAAATCTTTGCCAAATAGCTCATAGTGCGTGTGTGAAGATTATAATTATAGAAGCATCTGTTTCAACTATCGCAGGTCCTTTTTTGTATATTGTGATTCAAACTCCAGACCTGCCTTTAATAGGGATGTTAGAAGTCAATCACTCGGAGTAGTATCTTTGCTCGTGTGATCTTTGTGCAGCTCAACAAATGCTAAGAGATGCAGGAAGGCTTTGCTTTGTCCCACAGACACTCTCCATGGACAGAGGGACTAGAGGGCTTATGTGGCACTGATATTAGAAGGATTAGTATCCCTTTACTTTAGCCTTTATTTTTCAATTAAGAGATTTGTAAATTCTATTACTATTTGCCCAGTATTCGAGTTCACATGTAGCAAAGGCTATGAATACTAATTTGCTGACTCTTAGTGGAAGAGTTCGTTTTTACAAAAGGTCATAATTGTTTGTATTATTTTTAATATGGAGTCTGTGTCCTTTTTTTTTTAAGTCTTTTCCAGCAGTACAACCTCTAACACCAAGTAGCATGGAGGAACGGATTGCAGAATTGAATCGACAGAGTATGGAGGCTCGTGGAAAACTCTTGCAATTAATAGAGCAGCAGAAACTTGTTGGTTTGAATCCTTCCTCTCCACCAGTATCACCTATTCGGTCACCTCTCGGAGCATGGACTGGTTAGTCACAAATTCATGATTTAAAAGCTTAGACACATGAAAATTTTCATTTTCTTGATTTTGCAAGTATATATTTAGCTAAATGAAATCTCAGAGCGCATATATTTCAGTGTCTTCAATTTTATATAGAAAGAAACAGACCTAAGTGACAGAAATGGGACTAGAAGGCTGGTCTCCTCTCTAGCTTCTAGAAAGCTATCCCATGGTGCCTGCAGTTAATCTTTGGTGTCTGAGTTCCTAAGTTGCCCTACATGTAAATGGGATCTAGTTCTGTATATGATTCGTTCATGGCGTATGCTGCAGCTATTTATAAACATAAGCATCAAAATAATTTAGAATTTCATCAGCAACAAATTACAAGTTATTATTCTGTTAAAACCATTAAAACATTTTCACTTGTAAGTTAAACTTCCTATTTAATTGTTACGTTTAGGAATGTGGGAAGCTACAGGCGATTCTAAACAATAGAAAGTAACTGAAAAATTAGTTGTCATAGTGATCACATTCAAAAAGGTACTGATGAAAGGAAGTAGACCTCAAGTTGCTCTTTAGCCAAAAATTGAATTATTAAGTCCCTCAAGGGGTAGAGCTGCATGAAGGTTCTAGAGAGACTAATTTGGGCCCGGTGTAAGAGAAGGTTCTAATTGTCAGGAATAGACAAAGCTCTGTATCAGTAAGTGGTGTGTCCCCTGAGGTGTTCAAACATTATTGTTTTAGAGAGATTCCTATGTCCTGTGGCTGGTTGAAGTACGTTACCTATGAAGGATCTACCAATAAGACTCTTTCTCTCAGAAGTTATTTCCTTTTTGAATTACAGACCCAGAGAACAGAGTGATTTGAGGCACTTCCCTGGTGGTCCAGTGGTTAAGACTCCACGTTCCCAATGCCGGGGGCCCGGGTTCGATCTCTGGTCAGGGAACTAGATTCCTCACGCGTTCCGCAACTAGAAATCGCGAGTGCCGCAACTAAGACCTGGTGCAGCCAACTAAATAAATAAATAAATATTAAAAAAAAAAGAGAACAGGAAAACAGAGTGATCTGGAAGTTACTGGAAAGTGATAGATAACGCATTTCCCTAAGGTCCTTCCTCTTTGTTTATTCTAGGCTCCTTCACATTACAGCTTTATCTACCGTCCTTCATAGTCAGAAAGTCTAGAGGCAACTTGTGACTAGAATAAATAAGTGAAATCACTCAATATATGTGAATACCAACGAATGTGCCACCATGTTCTGGGCACTGGGGATACTGCATCGAACAGGACAAGCCCCTGCCCAGCTTGACTACTCCGGGATTCAAGCTGGGGGGAGCAGGCAATACAAATAAGCAAATAAATACATGAGACAATGTCAGTTAGTGCTAAGTGCAATGAAGAAAAAATAAAGCAGATCACTCGTAAGAATAATTTTGTGATCAAATGAGACATCTATTTCAGTAGTTCTTTGAGGTTAATACTTTCATTTCTGTTGGCTCATTTAGTTTTCAACATACCTTCAGAGTAGACAAAGCTGATACAACTATTTGATAAATAAGTAAACCGAGGCACAAAGAGGTTGAGTGATTTGTCTGAAATTCTAAAGCAAACTGGTAGGTTTGCAACCGTGTTCTTTCCATTCCAGTGCTTATTTGTCTAAGGTATTCTTTTCTTAAGTAAAATTATTGGTTTCACAGGAACCTCTGTGGGCTATAATGATAAAGATAAAAATAAATCATATGTCATGCAGAACCTCTTTTGTTTTCTAGGGCAACCAAGGAATATGTTATAAAATTGAATAGAGCTTCATTACCCCTTAAAGTCCAGAAATTACTGGTTTTAAGCATGATTCTTAGGAGCACTGCCTGAGCCTTTCATGAGTACATACTTAGTAAATATTTGTTGACTGATTATCTACTTCTGAAATATTGAAAATGTACATAATTATACTTGCCTTTGGCCATATGAGCTCTTCAGCCAACTTTCCCCTCCAAATTTAATGTCTTCAGTAACAGTAATAATGTAATAGATTTAGAAGATTTAAAGTTTTACTGTGTAACTCCAGAAATGTTCTTTCTTTTTCATTTTTTTTTTTTTCGGAAAGCTTTAGATAAGTCGCTCTCACCAAGATCTCCTGTTCTTTAGGGCTAGCTCTTAATTTCTGTTTTTCACTTGCAGATCTGACATGATACCACTTGTCTGAAGATTCTGGCTCTCTAGGAACTGGCATGCTCCTGAATTGACACTAAGAACTAAAGTTTCTTGTCCCACAGTTCGTTTTTTAAAAAATCCTTGAAGTGTATTTGTGGTCCATGGTGATAAAAATATAGAAAGAACCCTCAACTTTATAATTTGCAGTAAGACAGAAATCAAGTTAAATTTTAATTTTCATTTTATTGAAAGGTAATAAACTAATGTTTATTTTTATATTATAGAAGGAGGAAAGAGGATGATCGAGGTATCTATTCCAGTAGCGGAAGCCCCAGAAAGCTCAAAATGCAGTATTGTCTCTCCTACCAGTGGGCTAAATTCAAGAAGGTAGGGTTAAAATCAAGAACGTGGTTTGTGTTTTATTCTCTTTGTGAAAAAAGGTAGTGCATGATGTCTGACTTAGTTTCAGACAGATTCACTCATGTAGAGAAAATCCAGTAATTGGGGAGGAGAATTTTGGGGGAAAAAAGAAGAAGAGTGAGGAACAATCCTTAATTAAGTAGAAAAGCATTGGGTTGGCTATTAAAGACAAAAATAGGATAATAGCACATATGTAGAGCGTTTTATGGGTTACAAAATTAGGAGGTAATATATGACAGGGTAAATTGACCAATAGTATTTTCCTCCTTTACAGTAAGTGAAACCAAAGCTCATAGAGCTAATTGGGCAGTTTGCCTCCATGGGTCACGTAGTTGGTAAATGGTGACACCAAGGATGTACCTGGCTGTCTGTGTCCACTCTACATGCTAGTACTGCACTGCTCCACGTCTCATTACTCTTCCATGACCCTGACCTTCTTCCCCATCCCTGCACATCCATTCTTCCTCTTTTAATGTTAAAAACTTATCTGTGTGGTCCTCTAATGTACTGAATGGTACATTCCATTCAGTCTTTCTGTAAACCTAAACATACTCTAAAAAAGAAAATCTATTAATTAAAAAAAAAAGAGGTTGGTGAAAATATGTTGCAAATAATTTACCTCATTTGGACTTAAGTCAGCCATTCCTATCAAGCTCTTCTCAGTATTGAGAATTGTGTCTTATATAATTTTTAAAGGTGAATAATAATAGATTACTCTCTCACTCTCTTTTATTTCTCATAAATAGGTCTCCAGGGGCTACTAGTAATTCTTGTTCTCCATTAAATGCCACCTCAGGAAGTGGGCACTTGACACCTGTTAATCCAAGAGCAGAGGTATGTGATAAACTGTAATTGTGAAATGTGTCTAGAGGTTGGGAGGGCAAAGGTGGGAGGTGGCTGATTTAGTAGTTTTCATGCTTAATTATTATTCCTGTTATCTTAAAGATAATATAAAATTCTCAGAAGAAAAGAAATACTAATTCACCTTCATTAGGAAAAACAAATAAGCATACACTTCTTTTGTTTTCTAGGGTAACTAAGGAATAAGGTAAAATTCAGTAAGATTTCAACAAAGATCGGACATTATTGTTTCAGGCAGAGCGTTCCAAATAGTGTGGCAAGACACGCAGGGGTGCCTTGAATGGGCTGTGGGCTTACTGAGATACTGGTTTCCTCAGTCTTTGCTGTGGCTGTATAGGGCTTGGGATAACCAGAGCCCTGGGGCCAGTCACTTTCCTTGTCACTCTGCCCCAGTGTGCTGTATCTGAGTGTGCCACAGAGAGGTTATGTGCCACACGTAGAGAGGTTATGGCACAAAGGGTAAATAAATGTCCTACGTATTTTTTATGTGTTCTGATTTGCTATAGGAATGTAGAGAAACTAAGCATCTTACAGTATATCCACAATTTTTGCAAAAGGCATTTTTCTGTGCTGGTAATACAGCAAAATATAGTTCCTTTGACTGACTAGTCATAGCAAATTGTGAGGGTATCTTTAAAATCATAAACATTACATTTGCAAATGTGAGCTAACAACTGTTTGATGGGGTGGGGGGGGATCTTCCTTGCTATTCTTATTACTAGCTTCAGTAATTAGACAAAATAGTGAATACCTCAATAAACACTGAGTATTTATAGTCCAAATTAATCGGTAAGCTCAGAATATTCTGATTGCCCAGCACTGGAAGATTTGTCCTTTGTTGTTTCTTATATTCTTAAAAAGCTTTAACGTAAACTATTTTATATAATTTGCCCTTAATTTCTGGAATTTAGTAACAGATTTAATTTACCAAGGTCAAATAACTTTTTTTGTTATTTTAAAAAGTTGTACATTGATTTGTATAAAATACTGGATTGATTCTTTTTAAAAAAATTAGGTCTGCCAAATCAATAAGGGGATCTGTTGACCAGGGAATATTTGGGATTGTCTCTGATAGAGAATAAAAATTGCTAGTAGCAGGCTTCCCTGGTGGCGCAGTGGTTGAGAGTCCGCCTGCCGATGCAGGGGACACAGGTTCATGCCCCAGTGCGGGAAGATCCCACATGCCGCGGAGCGGCTGGGCCCGTGAGCCATGGCCACTGAGCCTGCGCGTCCGGAGCCTGTGCTCCGCAATGGGAGAGGCCACAACAGTGAGAGGCCCGCGTACCAAAAAAAAATTGCTAGTAGCAATAATTTTTAGTACCATTCAGTGGTGTAAGATAACTTTGGTTCTATGTACTTGGTATAAATAATTGTAAATCTTGAGTGGTTTCATGCTCCTGATTACTTTCTAAAGCCTTTCTGCATCTTTGTTCAACAGATTGAGAAACAAAATGAAGAAGGCTGGTTTGCTCTTGCTACCCACGTGTCATAAGTGAGGACGAGTTGTAGAGTTTGTTCTCAGTAATATATTCTTGAGCTTCCACTCCCCTTTCCCTGCTCCTGCTTTTAAGTTTTTATGTTCTTCTTTCAGATACAACTTACAAAGATCTCATGACTTAGTACTAATGGAACAAAGAAATAAAGCAATTATTTTAATTTTTAACCTTTTCAAATAGATTTCCAACAAACAAACAACCTATAACCTCTTGTGAATAAAATTTTGACTAGAGGGAAATTAAAGTTTTATATTCTAATAAATTCAAGGATTTTTTGGAGTAATATATTTTTATCTTTGTCATCTTTATTCAGATTTTTTTTTTGGTCCAGTGTATCTCAAATGTTGATCTATTTTATTTTTATTTTTTTCTGAAGAACTAAGCTGCTTTTGCATATAACTTACAATAAAATGACTTGGTGTGACTAAAGTCTGGCTTTCAGAAAAATTTACACCCCCTTTTGAGAGAAGTCACTGTAGTCCATCACTTTTTCCATCAAGGGAATGTATAGTTTTCAAAAGTAAGTGTGGGGGCTTCCCTGGTGGCGCAGTGGTTGGGAGTCCACCTGCCGATGCAGGGGGCACGGGTTCGTGGCCCGGTCCGGGAGGATCCCGCGTGCCGCGGGGTGGCTGGGCCCGTGAGCCATGGCCACTGGGCCGGCGCGTCCAGAGCTTGTGCTCCGCGGCGGGAGGGGCCACAGCAGTGAGGGGCCCGCGTACCGCAAAAAAAAAAAAAAAAAAAGTCAGTGTGGGAGTATTTGTTTATATTTGCTTAAGCAGGTAAGGGTGGTTATATATATTATAAAATTCTTACATAGTCTTTACATGTGAAAATGTTATCAGTAATGGTAATGTATATCAAAAAAATAATGATTGAGCTTAAATATCTGAATGCACTAACATTGATTTATTGGTTTATTTAATGTTTGAAACAGAATTGAGTACAAAACGTTGCTATCAATTTTCCCAGCCTTGAATCTACAATGCATTCAGGGTAGATTTTTCTTCAAGGCACCTGTTTGATCTCACATATTGGTTTCTGTTTTAAACTTGGTTTTTGAATGGTCTCTGCTCCTTGGCTCTATGATAGGAATTCTCAGCCTAAGTGAGGTGGGAGTGGCGAGGGGGAAGCACACTGTAACGCCTTGGGGAACTCTCTTAGATAACACCTTCCCTCCTCCTGCAGTTGTAAGTCACTGTTGTAGGAAGTGTGCTATGCAGCTTTCATTTGGGCCTCTTCATTGTTGTAGGGGCAAAATAATTATTATCTTTTGGTATCACTGATTTTATTTATGTGAAGTCATCTGTATGCATTTGCATTATTGCAGATTCTTCCGTCTGTATTGCACTTTTTAAACCTTGGTGTTTAATAAATACTATCCCTGTATGGCATATAAACCCATTTTAGTGTTATTCCTTCTCTTACTGAAATGTCAAGTTATCTGCTTGCTTTGTGAATGCGTTCTTTTGACGTGTATTTTCTTTAATATTCTCCAACTGGTTGGCTCTTTATTTTTTTCCTCTATATTCCTTTCAACCTCTAAGATGCCTTGGCATGGCATTTTAAAAAGCTGCTCATGGTGACTTAATGTGCAGCCAGAGCTGAGAACCAATGCAAAAACTTTTACCACTAGCTCATGGCAACCTTTGGGACTGATATTGAAGTATGCATCCTGTTAATGTTTGTTTTTGCTGATAAAATACAAAGGTAGATTGAAAAAACTCCAAGAATAATAGATAGAGCGAAAGGAGCCTTTCTTTCTTAGGCCTTTGGAGTAGTGCTTCTCAACTTCAGCTGTTATTAGAGTCATCTGGGGACCTTCTAAAATTCCCAGTGCCCAATTCTCACTCCAGACCAATTAAATTAGAAACCCTGGGGACGGGACACAAACATTAGTATTTTAAAAACCTCCTGAGATGATTCCAGTGAACAGCCAAGCTTGGGAAACATCATTATAAAAACATTTATTATCCCCAGTCATAAATTAGTGCATATTTGTTTTAAATTAAGTTAAACTACCTTTATTAGTTTCTCTTTATCAGCTTTCAGAGCCAGCTGCATCGGTGGGTCTCAAAGCGTGAACACCAGCCAGCAGCATCATTATCACCTGGGGTACTTGTTAGATGTGAAAATTCTTGCGCCCTACCCCAGACCTATTGATCAGAAACTCTGGTGTCTTTTTTAATAAGCCTTTCATGTGATTCGGGGCATGCTCAAATTTGGGAACCATGGATCTATAGCACTGCAGACAGGTGAACTCTGCTGTATTTGACTGTGATGTATTACATTTGTATTTACTTTTAATGGTCCAAACTCAGATTACTTGTGTTTCTTGGTTTTAGATGCAAGTTTTTTGCTAACATATGTCTTGTCCGATATGTCCCAGAAAGCTGCTGATCAGGTGCTAATAAACTTTAATAAACTTGACAGTTCTCCAAACTGCAGCTTGCGAGAGAAACTAGACTGATAGCTAAATCCAGTTATGATATAATCACTCCTACACTGTATAGCAGAATCATTTGGATTAGCAGAATTTAATAATGGTTTAGTATGTGCTAAGTGCCGGGCACTGTTCTAGCCACATGACTTCATGACACCTTCATGAGGTAAGTACTGTTATCCTTATTTTGCAGATGAGGAAATTAGATCCGAGGAGGTAAGCACTCTCTCAAGGTCACGTAACCAGGGAGTGGTGGCACTGGAATGGGAACATAGGCAGTCTTTCTCCAAAGCCTATGCTGCGCTGCCCTCTTATGGTGTGCACAATATGGAAGCACCATAATGGTAATAATAGCTTTCCTTTATTGAGCCTTTCCTGTGGCAGGCGCCGTGCTAAGCCGCAGTAGCCCGTTATTGCATTTAAATCTCACAGTCAACCTATGAGTTAGACGTGTTTAAATGCCGCCCACCCCCCTTACAGATGAGGAAATTGAGCTCTAGAGGTCGAATAAGCTACCCAATGTCAGAGTGCTTATAAGAAGTAAAGCCAGGACTTGAAGCTCTTTTTAAAAACAATTATTGGACTTCTACTAACTTAAAAGAAATAACTAATATAGCATAGTGGCTACGGGTGCAAGTGTTGCCATCAAAACGCTTGGATTCATATGTCATCTGTGTTCCTTGGGCTGTGTCCCTTGGGCAGATGAATCTCATTTTTCCCATTTGAAAGTCAGAGATAATACCTTCTTACAGGGTTGTGAGAATTAAGTGAGGTAAATAGGTGTAAATATGCTAAGAACAGCACCTGACTCACAAGCATTCAGTAATGACTGCCAGCTTTTTGGTGTAGAAATAAATACACTATTCCCTCTGTACTTCTGGATTTTTAAAGACATTCTGTAGTGAATTTGTGTTTTTCTCAAATTAATAACTGGATCCAGTGCTTTAACTTTAAAGATGTTTGGAGGTTGAAATAAAACATGTTGAGCATATTATTTGAAAATAACTAACATACTGTTTAAAAGTAAGTTTATCCTATGTTTTCTGGCTTTTTGACACCCTGGATATACTATTTAATAATTAACAGCCGCGATAATGGTCTTGTTTTTTAATCCTCGAGAATACTTGACTAAAGAGAACATTTCAACATTACCAATAAATGCATGGTACAAAGTTTTTGGAAAATCGTTGTGTAACATTACAGAAATCAATAAACACAAAATATAATACAGCCACTTTTTTCTTACCAACTTTATTGAGAAATAATTTATATACAACAAAATACATCCATACATCCATTTAAAGAGAACAATTCATGGACTTTGGCAGTTGTATATACAGACAGAACTATCACCACAATTAAGACCATTTCTATCATCTCCAGAAGATTCCTCCTGTCTCTTTGCAGTGCATCTCTCCCTTTACTCCAGCTCTAGGGAACCACTGATCTGCTTTTGGTCATCATAGATTTGTTTGCATTTTATATAAATGAAATCACACACACTGTAATATCTTGTGCCTGTCTACTTTCACTCATCCTGAGATTCATCCATGTTGTGTGTATCCGTTTCTTCCTTTTTACTTCTGAGTAGTATTCTGTTGTACAGATATTTATCCATTCACCTGTCAGTGACCATTTGGGTGGTTTCCAGTTTTTTGCTATTGTGAATATGGCTGCTATGAACATTCACGCATAAGGCTTTGTATGGATGGAAATTTTTTATTCTCTTGGGAAAATACCTTGGACATGGAATCGCTTGGTAAATGTTTAACTTTTAAAGAAATTGCCAAACGTTTTTCCAAAGTGGTCGTGCTACTTTACATTTTCAACAGCATTATATGAGAGTTCCATTTGCTCCACATCCTTCCATATTTGGTGCTGGCAGTTTTAAAACTTTTACCCATCCCAGTAGATATGGAATGCGTGCACTGTGGTGTGCATCTCCCTGGGGCCTACTGTTATGCATCTTTCCATGTGTTTATTGACTGCTCATACATCTGATGTGGTGAGGTATTCAAAGTCCTAGGTGGTTAGTTTTTTTGTTATTGAATTATAAGAGTTCTTTACATATTCTGGATACAAAATTCTTTGTCATATTATTGCGAGGCTGTAGCCATTTAAAAACAATGTTTTGTAACCAGTAACATTAGTTAGGTACTTAAAAATAATAATGATTGCTGGCTGTGCCACAGAGCATTTGGAGAGCAAACTGCTAAACCGAAAAAATCTGTCAAGCTAGGCCTATATTTTGTGCACCTGGAGTCCTGTGACCAAGGAGCCCACAACATAACTTACTCTTAAAGTCAACAGAGATAACATAAAGTAAAATAAATAAAACAAAAATCGCCCAGCGACGTATATTTGCTGATGACGGCGTGTGATCAGGGCACCTTTGAGTCATTTTGTATTATTGGGCATAGCTTCGAAGTCATCAATGTATCATCCTTAGGATAATAATAATATAAACTAGATATAAAAATTAAACGGGGATAATAAGATGGTAGAATGCCGGGCTTTCTGTTTGGCCTTGATCCTGAGTCATGGGCCACGAAATAGCCGGGCCAGAGGGCAAGCGAGATCAAGGGTACCCCTGCAACCGCCTTGGCATTTCCCAGACAGCGGCCTTAGGGCTGCGCATGCGCCTCTCGGCCCGCCCGTCTCCGCCCACCCGGGAGGCGGGATGGCGTTGCCGTGGTAACCGCAGTAAACGGAGACCTGGGGCAGACGCCGTGACTGGGAACGCGCGGCGGAGGTTGGTGCCTTAGGTAAGTTTTGACCCCAGCAGCCTGGCAGTTCCCACAACCTCCCCCCTCAAATCTGTTGGCGAATCAGGGATCAGTCGACCCCATTTGGACTTCTCTTAGGCTGAACTAGGGTTCTCCGGGCTTTGCTGAGACACATTCCTTCTCCTTTCTATGGATCAGTTCGACAAACATTTGAATTGATAGCATTCGCAGGCATGGGGCAACACACTGTAGATAGAACGTGGACGCTGTTCCTGCCTGCAAGGAGCTCATGATCCAGCTGGGGAGGAAGACAGGCGATGGCAGGAGTCCGTGTTGGACCGGGCTGAGCCAGGAACAGGGAGTCGGTGGGAAAGTGCCTGGGTTCTGGGGTCAACAAGCCACCCAGACCTGTTAAGTGTGACACTTGGCAAGTTGACCTTCTGCACTTTAGATTCCTCATCTAACTAGGGAAGGTGGTAGTGCTTACTTCATGGGGTTCCTGTTACAATTAAATAGGATAATGCAGGTCAAGTAAGTGTGTAGCACATGCAAGACACAGTAGATGCACAATAAATCCTTGTTGCATACAAGTAGATATAGTAGCATACAAGTACTCAGCATGCCTGGCCAATTGTGAGTTGTCCAAGGTGGCTACTGACTAAAACTTTTGAGAAGGAGGAGGGGCTGAGGAGGATCCAGGAAAGGGGAAGGTGACAAGAGATGAATTACAGACCCTAAGATGAAGGACCTCTGTGCCACACCAAGGAATCTGAGTTCTTGTTCTGTGGCAATGAGGAGCCATTAAAGGTTTTAAACAAGAAGAGTGGCACATTAAAAGCTGTGTTTTAGGAATATAAGAGGCAGTGTACAAATGGACCAGAGAAGGGAGAGAATGAGGCTGTGGTAATGGTAGAGGTGAGACAGTGTGAGGACCAGAACTGGGATGGGGACAGTGGGACTAGAAGGGAGAGGATGAATTCAAAAGGCTTAATAACTGAACACTGGGCAACAGGACTTGGAAGTCAATTGCATGAGTTGGGTGAGAGGGAAGGATTCAAATAGTAACTGCTCTGCTATCTCATCTGTAAAATGCACCTAACTCATAGAGTTTTGAGAAATATATGAAACAGTATGTGTAGAATCCTCAGAACTGTGCTCCACACATGGTAAACATTAAAAACACATGAGCTGTTATTCTCTCCACAGTTGTTATTTCACACTGTAAAGTAAAAACAGTGTCTGTTTTTATACAGGAATCTCTATGAATCTCAGCGTGACCAGCTCTGGCACACTGCTGAGATGGAGTGTTTGAGTTTGTGAGAGTGGGGACCGACCCTGGAATCTAAGGAATGAATCTTGAGTAATGTCATCTTGGGGAGCCCTCTGTCCAGCTTCCAGCCAACCTCCTTCTATCAACACACACTCTGCAACACTGTGTACTATAATTTTCTTTTTTCTTTACACTTCCTCAGGGTTGACTCAAAACTTCACAGTCTACCTAATGAGTTGGTTAACAGAATTAACCATAGGCTGGACCAATAAGCCTGAGTCTAATGAAAATAGATTTAAGGTAGTTCTGCAAATAGACTTCCAAACCTAGCTAGTTCAGTTGTATAAGATAGGACATGGTTAGGTATACAGAAATAAGGTTTAGTCATTCTAGCTGGTTACAGATGGATTATTACGAGTCAGTATATGAGGAGCCTGCCCACCCCCCAGACCCTGGCAAGATAATGTAATATTAGGCTGCCTTGAAAGAATATAATGTCCCCAACAGATAAAGTGATGGTTCATATCTTCTGGAAAGTGTCCAGATCCTTCAAAGGACATACAAAATTGGGAGGGATATATGATGGATTGGGAATTAAGTTTTTGAGCTATCCAGATGCTGAAAGGAGTTGAAAACATGTTAGTGAGAAATAGTTGAAAGAATTGGGATGCTTTATTTGGGAAAAGAGAGGATCTGGGTAGGAAAGTTAACTGGCTAATTATTTGAACGGCTATAGTAAACAGGAAAACTTATTCTGTGTGTCCCCAGAAGAATAGGGCCAAATAGATCCAAGTTGCAGGGAGGAAGATTTCATATAATAGAAAATGAACTTCCTAAGAACTAGAGCTGAGAACATTAACAGAATGTGCTCACCCTCTTACCTGAAATGTTTAAATTAAAGCTGACTGTCTCTTGGTGTGTTCCTTCATTTGTTCCTTTATTCAGGAATTAAAACATTCATCCCTTCAACTATTTTACCTACTGAGTGCAAGGCACTGTTCTTTGAAAGCTTTACTGTATTAACTCATTGAGATCTCAGAACCACCTTGTGAAGTAGGTACTGCACTTTACAGATGAGAAGGCACAGAGAGGTTAAATACTTGTTTAATACCTCACAACTATAATAGTAAGAGGAAAAGCCAGGCTTTGAGCCCAGTCAGTGTGATTCTAGCCAATACTCTTAGCCTGGGCTTGAGTTGTAGATGTGTGATTTATATTGGGTGGGAAGATTGGACCAAATTAACCCTCTTTCAACTCTCAAGATTCTGTGATCATATTTATTGAGCCCTAGCTGTATTAAAGAGAATGTGTAGTAATTATAGTAAAACTACCATTTTCCAATACGTACGAAGAGTTTGATATAAACCCATGGTCCTTAACTCTGGTTCTTATTCTTTGGCTCCACAAAAGAATTATATAGGGAATGAGACCCCGAGAATGGTACATTGTAAGAAGTTTTCCGAGTGATTCTAAAGTACAGCCAGAGTTGAGAACTGTGGGTATAAAAGATCTCATTTAATACTTACAATAACTCTGCCAGACAACCTTATCTTCCCCATTGTACATATAAAAGGACTGACAGGTTAAGGGATGCTAGGGGCTTGGCCCTTGGCCAAGTAAACCTTTTTTCTTGGCCAAACAAGTCCCTCTGACATCAAAGCCTCATCAGGTTGCAATACAACTTCTCAATCCTTTAATTCTAAAAAAATAAAAACAAACACAAAAATCAAGAGAGGGTATCATGATGTCAGTGCAAGGAAACAGAGGGTATAAACCCTAATGTCCAGATGAAGGTGGGTAGTTGTCATCCTGCACTCTCATGCACTGATCGTGTAGTGTAGATCCTGGCTGCTTTGGGCATAGTAGTCTTTCTTGAGAGACCAGGAAGGTGTAATAATGCACTAGTTCAGTTAATTCGCATAGCAGCCTTATACATAGTTTTTTCTTCACTCCCATTTTACAACCGAGGAATTGATGTAAAGTAATTAGCTAGTTCTGTGGCAAAACTGGGATTCAAACCTGAATCTAACCACAGATCTCACCCAAAAAGAACTACTACTCTACCTGCCAGCTGTGCCATAGAATGTTGAGGAAACACGGGATGTTTAGTGCGGAGAAATGAAGACTTAGAAGGAAGACATAGTAGATGTTCTCATCTACAAGAGCTGCCATAGAGAGAGAGGACAGAGAAAACCTCTCGTGTCACTCCCCTCCTTAAAAACCTTCAATGGCTTTCAACTACCATAGAAATAAGTTCTAAACTCCTTAGCAAAGCTTAGAGACAATTTGATGATCTGCTACCCGCTTCCTCATCAATGTCCATTTCACTCTCCTGCTCTAGCCAATAGACTGCTCTCAGGCCTTCACAGACACAAGCCTCTCTTAGAAGCTCCCTCTGCCAATAATCTTTCCCATTTTATGCCTGGCCAACGTCTACTCATGACCTGTGTCTCAAATGCCTCTTCCTTAACCCCAGACATAGTTTAATCTTCTTGCTGTATGTGCCCACAACACCCTATTCTTTTGTAGCACTCATTATATTTTAATTACCTGTTTAATATCTATATTTCTAAAAAAGCTCCACTGAGTTAAGGATCGTATCTTTCTAGTTCAGTACTACAATTTAGTGCCTAACATAAGATTTGATACATAGAAGTTATCCTCAACAAATATTTAAAAATTGAAATTGATTAGTAACACCAGGGGACTTTGATGATGGGAGGGGGAAGAGGAGGGGATGAACCAAAGGAAGGATGGCAAAGGGTTAATTTTAATGTGGAGCATTTAGAGGAAAGATAGGCTTGGGTGGTGTTTCACTGTGGACTTCTGGAAAACCAGAGGGCACCATGATGACGAGTTTGCCTGGAGGAAGGGAATATCTGACTATATTTTGCCATTCTACGGAGGTCTCTGATGATGGCCGTGTGCCCTCCAGCTGGTGAAATCATTTCTGATACCTTGCAAACACACAGATTGTCAACACACATGGTGTTTGGTGCTCCTGGGATTTGTTTAGGGGGAAAATAATCTGTTAATGATTTCTATTTTACAGCTCTATCCCTGTCTCTGTCTCAATTTTGTGCTTACAGAGAAAATGAAGGAACCAGATGATCAGGATACTGATGGGGGGAAATCAGAGAGATCAAAGAGTGATGGAAGGCAGTCTCGTTCTTCTAGATCTGCATCAGAACGTGAGTAAAGATTATAATATACACTTAGGGTCTTGATTATTAAATTTGAGTAAAATAATTTTTAAAGAGTGCATATCTAAGTTTATACGACAGAAAGGTTGACTTGTTTAATTCCCTTGCTAAACTCTAAGTTCTTTAAGAGCAGATTCTGTGTTTTAATCATTTTATCTCTAGTCCTGGAACACCGAAGTTACTATCATCTCTATGTTGATAATGACCCATCTTCACATCTGGTCTGGCTCCTTCCTGTAGGGTCTACAAGGTCTTTAATGAGCTTCTCTAATACAGTGCAGTGGAAAGAGAGCTGGACTTATGTTTTGAGTCCTGGGTCTTCCACTTAGAGATGCTTGATCTTGGATAAATTATTTCACCTTTCTGAGCCTCAATTTTCTCACCCGTAAAATGATCGTTGTGAGCTGTTTGAGGATTAAATTGGATAACATATGTGGAAGGATATCATAAATTGCAGATAGAAGGGAAAGTGAAGAATTTTGTAATAGGATTTTTAAAAGATGACTGGCTCTTTCTGTCTGGGCATCGTGGTGTTAGGTGGCTTAGTGGAATATTGACATTTTTAGTTCTAATCCTAAATATAGTTTCAGAATCTAATTTTTACTATTCACCTAGAGGAGAGCAGGTCCTGGGGAAATCAATTCATTTACAAAAGGTACATTAAATTCTTTCAATTTATCTGAGGCCTGTCTGGTAAATCCATGATTTCTCCGTATCGTATTTTATTTTAGAGGTCTATCTCCTCTTGCTTGGACTCTTACAACAAGGATTTCTGCTTAAGTCTTCCTGTCCATACCACCATTAGAGTTATCTTTCCAAAAAATATGATTATATCACTCTCCTGAAAAACTTTAGCTTGCTTCTCGTTTGTTTTTCCGTTTCCACTTTTTTCCACTCCCTATGTTTCTGACACAGGATTGTCTACTTTTTAGTTTCTAGTGCTTTGCAGTATTTTCCTGGATGATTTAGTTTTTTCTTTTTTTTTTCAAATTTTGTTTTATAGATCTTTATTGGAGTATAATTGCTTCACAATACTGTGTTGGTTTCTGTTGTACAACAAAGTGAATCAGCCATATGCATACATATATCCCCATATCCCCTCCCTCTTGCGTCTCTCCCTCCCACCCTCCCTATCCCACCCCTCTAGGTCGTCGCAAAGCCCCAAGTTGATCTCCCTGTGTTATGCTGCTGCTTCCCACTAGCTATCTATTTTACATTTGGTAGTGTATATATGTCACTGCTACTCTCACTTTGCCCCAGCTTCCCCCTCCCCTTCCCCATGTCCTCAAGTCCATTTTCTCCTTCTCTAAATGTTTGATAGAATTCACCTGTAAAGCCATCTGGTCCTGAACTTTTGTTTGTTGGAAGATTTTTAATTACAGTTTCAATTTCATTCCTTGTGATAGGTCTGTTTATATTTTCTAATTCTTCCTGGTTCAGTCTTGGAAAATTGTACCTTTCCAAGAATTTGTCCATTTTTTCATGGCTGTCCATTTTATTGGCATATAGTTGTTTGCAGTAGTCTCTTATAATCCTTTGTATTTCTGTGGTGTCAGTTGTGATTTCTCCTTTTTCATTTCTAATTTTATTGATTTGTGTCCTCTCCCTTTTTTTCTTGATGAGTCTGGCTAAGGGTATATCAATTTTGTTTATCTTCTCAAAGAACCAGCTTTTAGTTTTATTGATCTTTGCTACTGTTTTCTTCATTTCTATTTCATTTATTTCTGCTCTGATTTTTATGACTTCTCTCCTTCTACTGACTTTGGGGTTTCTTTATTCTTCTTCCTCTAGCTGCTTTAGGTGTAGGGTTAGATTGTTTATTTGAGATTTTTCTTGTTTCCTGAGGTGAGATTGAATTGCTGTAAACTTCCCTTTTAGAACTGCTTTTGCTGTGCCCCATAGGTCTTGGGTCGTCATGTTTTTGTTATTTGTTTTTATGTATTTTTTTATGTCTTCTTTGATTTCTTCAGTGATCTCTTGCTTATCTTGTAGCACACTATTTAGCCTCCATGTATTTGTGGTTTTTTTCAGTTTTTTCCTGTAACTGATTTCCAGTCTCATAGCGTTGTAGTCAGAAAAGATGCTTGATATGATTTCAATTTTCTTAAATTTTCCGAGGCTTGATTTGTGACCTAAGATGTGATCTATCCTGGAGAATGTTCTGTGTGCACTTAAGAAGAAAGTGTATTCTGCCACTTTTGGGTGGAATGTTCTATAAATATCAGTTAAATCTATCTGGTCTATTGTGTCATTTAAAGCTTGTGTTTCCTTATTTCTTTTCTGTTTGGATGATCTGTCCATTGGTGTAAGTGGGGTGTTAAAGTCCCCTACTATTATTATGTTACTGTCAATTTCCCCTTTCATGGTTGTTATCATTTGCCTTATGTATTGAGGTGCTCCTATGTTGGGTGCATAAATGTTTACAATTGTTATATCTTTTTCTTGGATTGATCCCTTGATCATTATGTAGTGTCCTTCCTTATCTCTTGTAACAGAGATAAGGTCTCTGTTAGTCTTTATTTTAAAGTCTGTTTTATCTGATACGAGTATTGCTACTCCAGCTTTCTTTTGATTTGCATAGAATATCTTTTTCCATCCCTTCACTTTCAGTCTGTATGTGTCTCTAGGTCTGAAGTGGGTCTCTTGTAGACAGCATATATATGGGTCTTGTTTTTGTATCCATTCGGCCAGTCTGTGTCTTTTGGTTAGGACATTTAATCCATTTACATTCAAGGTTATTATCGATATGTATTTTCGTATTACCATTTTCTTAATTGTTTTGGGTTCGTTTTTGTGGGTCTTTTTCTTCTCTTGTGTTTCCCACCTAGAGAAGTTTCTTTAGCATTTGCTGTAAAGCTGGTTTGTTGGTGCTGAATTCTCTTAGCTTTTGCTTTTCTGAAAAGCTTTTGATTTCTCTGTCGAATCTGAATGAGATCCTTGCTGGGTAGAGTAATCTTCGTTGTAGGTTTTTCTCTTTCATCACTTTAAGTATATCCTGCCTCTCCCTTCTGGCCTGCAGAGTTTCTGCTGAAAAATCAGCTGATAACCTTGTGGGGATTCCTTTGTATGTTATTTTTTGTTTTTCCCTTGCTGCTTTTAATATTTTTTTCTCTGAATTTAATTTTTGTTAGTTTGATTGATGTGTGTCTTAGTATGTTTCTCCTGGGGTTAACCCTGTATAGGACTCTCTGTGCTTCCTGAACTTGGGTGACTATCTCCTCTCCTATGTTAGGGAAGTTTTCCACTATAATCTCTTCAAATATTTTCTCACACCCTATCTTTTTCTCTTCTTCTTCTGGGACCCCTGTAATTTGAATGTTGGTGCCTTTAGTGTTGTCCCAGAGGTCTCTGAGATTTTCTTTTCATTCTTTTATCTTTATTCTGCTCCTTGGCAGTTATTTCCACCATTCTGTCTTCCAGCTCACTTATTCATTCTTCTGCCCCAGTTATTCTGTTATTGATTCCTTCTAGTGTATTTTTCATTTCAGTTATTGTGTTGTTCATCTCTGTTTGTTTGTTCTTTAGTTCTTCTAGATCTTTGTTAAACATTTCTTGTATTTTCTCAATCCATGCCTCCATTCTATTTCTGAGATTCTGGATCATCTTTACTATCATTACTCTGAATTCTTTCTCAGGTAGGTTGCTTTTTTCCTCTTCATTTATTTGGTCTTATAGGATTTTACCTTGCTCCTTCATCTGTGACATGTTTTTTGCCATCTCATTTTTTTTTTTTTTTTTAATGAGTGGGATTGTGTTCCTGCCTTACTGGTTGTTTGGCCTTAGGCTTCCAACACTGGAGCTTATAAGCTGTTGCTTAGAGCTGGGTCTTGGTGCCAAGATGAGGACCTCTGGGAAACCTCACTCTGATGAGTATTCCCTGTGGTGTCTGAGGTTCTCTGTTAGTCCAGTGGTTCAGATTCGGAGCTCCCACTGCGGGAACTTCAGCCCTAACCCTGGCTTGTGAACCAAGATCCCACAAGCTGCGTGTGGGGCAGCAAAAAAAAATGGAGAACAATAACAAGTAAAAAATAAAATTAGACTAGGAAACTAACAGATATGTTAGAAAGAATATAAAAATAAAAATATAGATGAACCAACAACCAGAAAGTAAAAAAGAACCACAATAACAAGAAAGAGGAGGAGAAAAAAAAAAAAAAGGTGGAAAAGGCCTTGGCTGTGGAGGGCAGAGCCTAAGCAGGGGTAGGGTTTGGGCAGTGGGCAGGGCCTATGCTTAGGACCCACAGGGCTGGAAAAGGCCCTGGAAGGTGTGGGGGGTTGGGGCTTAGGCTCAACGGAACAGAGGAGCCCAGGCCTGCCTCCCGCCTGTAGTCTCAGAGGGCAGGGGACACCATGTGGAAGCCCAGCAGGCTTCCAGGGCCAGAGTGGGTGGGACCAACACCCTCTGCTCCTCTCCCGCTCTGGATGGTTGGATTTAATGATAATGTCCCTTTGTCCAGCACTGCCTGAACCTCCCTTTTTAATGTCAGACCTTCTTAAGGGCAGGTCTTATCAAATCTGGCCTGGCCCTGTCCTCAGCTCATAAATTAGTTCATAAATCATGGGTTTTAGGATCTCAAATGATAACGTGAAATAGTCTGCTGACACTCTGAAACCTTCTACCTTGGTGCTGTGAGAAGAGGTCTCTGTCCTGGTTCAGCTACATACCTGATAGCTGAATTTTTTTTCCTGGAGCCCTTACCTTGTTCTCAGTCTTTCTAAAATATCTAGGCAACATCTTACCCTTTGGAATTCTCATGCAGAGTGAATCAATTTCCTGGTTTTCTACCTAAGTATGGAGATTAAGGTAGACTCTTCCCCATAACCAACAAGGAGTTTCTGCTGTAACAGAGTCCTATTAAGAGATTTAGACCAAATGTACCAGCCAGACCATGCAGCATTTTTCACAAGGGTGAAGGACTTTAGTTACCAAGACATTGGTTTCTGATTCTTATCAAAGGACTAAATTATTGCTGACTTCATATAATAAACTGGGAAGTATTTTGGTCTCTTCTATTTTCAGAAATATTTTGTGTAGAATTAGTATTATTTCTTCCTTAAATGTTTGCTGGAACTCACCAATGAAGTATCTGGGCCTGTAATTTTCTTAGTGGAAAAATTTTTAACTGTGAAGTCAATTCCCTTAATAAATAGAGGGTTGTCTCTTTCTTCTTTATTAAGTTTTGTAACTTTGTATCTTTCATAGAAGTTATACATTTCTTCTAAATTGTAAAATTTGTTGACATAACTCTGTAGGATCTATTTTAATTCCTGATACTGAAGATTTGTATTGTCTCTCTTTTATTTCTTGATGGGCCTAGCTAGGAGTGCATCCATTTTGTCAATCTTTTCAAAGAATAAGGTTTTGGCTTTGATAATTTTTCTATTGTTTTGTTGCCTTTTTATTTCATTGAGTCTTGCTTTCATTTTTATTATTTACACTAATTCTATTAATTATTTTTTTATTATTTTATTTTTATTATTTTTATTTCCTTTCTTCTACTTACTCTGAGTTTTGGGGTTTTTTGCTTTTCTTTTTCTAGTTTCTTGAGGCGGAACGTTAGGTCATTGATTTTTGAGTTTTCTTATATATGTACTAAAAGCTATAAATTTCCCTCTAAGCATTGCCTTAGCTGTATCCCACACATTTTGGTGTTATATTTTAATTATCATTTACTTTGAAATGTTTTATAATTTCTTTATTAATTTCTCCTTGACCCATACATTATTTTTAAGTGTGTTTTTTAATTGCCAAATGTCTTCTGTAATTTAATTTACTACTGTTGTAATCAGAGAATATGCATATTTTGTATTATTTCAATCTTTTAAAAGCTATTAAAACTTGTCTTATGTTCCAGCAAGTGATCTCTCTTGGTAAATGGCCCATGTGCCTTTGAATGTGTAGGTGTAGTGTTTTTTATATATCAGGCGGGGATGTTTGACAGTGTTTTTCAGATCATCATATCTTATGGAGTTTTTGACTGGTTGTTCCCTCAGTTGATGAAAGATGTGTATTACTATAATATTAACTAAGTAGACCGTGAGAAGTAAAGGATAAATATTATAATCTCTGAAGCAATTATTTAAAAAGCAAACAAAGAAAAGTAGTTAAAAAGCTAACAGAAATTAAAATGGAATTTTAAAGAATAAATAATCTAGAAGAATAACAATAAATGGTCTAACAAAAAATAGGAAAGAAGAAATAGAGGGAAAATGGAAGAGTGGGAAGTGCACAAACAGAAAATAAATAATTAAATGTTAGATCAAAATCCAACTATACCAATAATTATATTAAATATTAATGGACTAATAAGTCTTGTAAAAAGGTACAGATTATCAGAATGGATAATAAAAGCAAGAACCTACTATATGATATATGAGACACACGTTAAGTATTATGATACAAATAGGTTAAAAGTAAATTGATGGAAAAAGATATAGTAGGCGTACAGTAAGCATTTGAAGGCTGGAGTGACTATATTAATATCAGATAAAATAGATTTCAAGACAAAGAGTACTATCTGTGACAAAGAAGTACATTTCATGATGATAAAAGGAGCAATACATTAGGAAGACATAACTATCATAAATATGTATGCATCTAATAACAGAGCATCACAATACATGAAGAAAAATAGAATTAAAGGGAAAACTAAATAATTCCAAAATTGTAGTAGGAGAACAGTCTGGTACTCCATCATGGTTACTTCATCATGGCCAAAATGGAAGTCCCAATTATTAATTTTTGTATGTTGTTTTTGTATGTAGTGACGATGCAAAACTCTTTTAAAAATTGTAATAATTATAGGGAGTCCTTATGGATGTTCTATGTGCACAGTCACATCATTTGCAGACTTCCTCATTGTGTTCCCAATCTCACAAAGGAGGTGGAGGTAAACAAGGACCAGAGAGGCAAGCTGTATTTGCAGGAGGCAGCCTGCCTCTGTGGCAGCTGGTGAGGAGAGGCACCACAGCTTCATATTTCTATTGGCTAGAGAGAAGAAAAAGCGGAGGAAACTCACCTATAAAATCCTGGGTCAGGGACTTCCTTGGTGGTCCAGTGGGTGCTCCCAATGCAGGGGGCCTGGGTTTGATCCCAAGACTAGATCTCACATGCACGCCAAAACTAAGAAGTCCGCGTGCCACAACTGAGTCTCCGTGTTGCAACTAAGAGCCCACATGCCGCAACTGAAGATCCCGCATGCTGCAGCTAAACATGCCGCAACGAAGACCTTAATTAAGATTGCCACAATTAAGACCTGGTGCAGACAAAATAATTAATTAATTAATTTGTAAAATTCCTTGGTCATAAAACAAACTTTCATCTGGCTCTTTTTGAGATCTGTGGCTATGGTGTCTCCTCGCCTTGGTTACCTCCCTTTGCTTCCTCCTGCACCCATCCTTGTTCAGTGTCCACTAATTTTGCCAGCCCTTCCACCAGCCAGCCCTGCCATCCATTTCTGATTTGAGGTTTTAGCAGCTTCTAGTTCTACAAAAAATGACATTTGTAATTTTGGCTTTCATTTTCAATGTTGATTTTAGATTATTTCCAAGAATAGAAAGACAAATGCTGATTTGTACATCAAACCATAATCCTTCCACCTGTCTATCTTGGGATTATAAAAAGTATAGAAATCTTTGTTGTCACCAAGTTGCTAAGATCTGCTGCTTTGCCAGTCTGATTTAATGTGTCTACTTCCTGTTAAATTCGTTTTTTTCCAAACTCCACTTTTCCTTTCAGTGGCACAACCCTTCAACCAGGCTCAGAATATTCATTTTTAGAAAAATGATTTACTCCCCTTCATTCGTATTCACTTCTGATTCCTTTATCAGTGATTCCCTCATCCTAGCTGGCAGCCTGAACTCATCTAATGGCAGCTTGAACTCTGTTCCCAGAGAGAGGCAGGCCAGCAGATAATATCCCAATCTTGAGATGGGGATATCGTGTTTGATTGCAACAGTCACAAGAAAGAGCTAAGAAATCTGTTAAATGGTATTACTGGAGAGTATTTACCCAGGGCTCTCCCCTAGGGGAGTTCAAGAAGTGGGCCCCATTTAGGTGTCCAGGATTATTTTCTTTCCATCCAAATGCATGAATCCTACAGAACCCTGTCCTCTTATTCTGCTAATTAGATTGGCCCAGCTTTCTCACCTCATTCAAGTTAGTCTTGGGCCTTGTTCCTCTTCTTTTAGCCTCATCTCAGATAGACCGACTAGGTGGTTCTACTGTGTTTCTGACATACTTACCATTTCTGCCTTACTATTCTGAAAGTTCATCCAACCCTTTCACCTGCTGGACATGGTATATGTGAACCATAGCCATGTTTGGACTTGATCTGAATGTTGGCTTATACCTAGATCTATTCTACTCCCATTCCAATTCTTTTTCTCTTCTAGCTTGTCCTGAAGCAAATAGTCTGATGTATTCCTAGGATATCATTCAGACATAGTCATACCCAGAGGAGTTTATTCTTGAATATGCGTTATCTTTGACATAAAAGGTCCTTATAAATAACGTGTTGTTCAAGTGAAATTGAATTGAAAAAATGATAGCAACATACTAGCCAATCTTTTTTTCTTTATCCTTTACTTTCTTGTAAGTGTGCAGTGGTAGGAAATAGACTGCAAATGAAGTGAAAATGGAGATTTACTCACAGGAAAAGCTTTAAAAATTTTTTGTAAAGCTGCAAGAGTGACCAAATAAAATGATTTTTGTAGCAATTTTTGAGTTTAAAATTCATTCAGTTTAGAGCACAAACGAATTGGAAGTATTAGGTACTTTGGAAATAAGAAATGTTTAATTCAAATTTAGAAATTATTTAATGTTTAAGACAATGTTTAATTCAAATTTAGAAATTATTTAATTCAAATTTAGAAATTATTAAAACAAATTACTTTGTATAGCCGCTATGAAAGAGGATTACAAATCTGTTGAAGATACCACAGGCGAAACATTTACTGAAGGGGAAGAGTCATATTTAGGGGATGATGAATCCTATGTGGAACATTTGGAAGGAAGTTCAAGTTCATCTCAAGATGATTATGTGGAAAGCATTGGAAGTAAGTATTACTGGTTTTCTATTAGTACTTGTCACTGTTTTAACTGAACAGTTGTAAATCCATAAAAGAAATGGTTGCAGGAAGTGTGGAGGTGATAAAAGAAAGGGCATCAAACATATCCTGATAGGGTGCTTTAGCAGCTCTGGAGTTGTGTATTCTGAGTATCACATACTCTCATACTGGGTTTTTCGGGGGAGTGGGATTGTCTAAGGAGTGATCTATCCCACATTAGTGAGACTAACTCTCCCTTAGAACTGACCGTGCGCTGTTCTTTGAGACTGCCGGAACCATGCAGGGCTAGGCGTTCACCCCAATGCACACAGGCGCGTTGCCTCTGCTTCCATGCTCACTTGTGGGTGGCATCCTATGTCCAGGCCAGAAGTAGTAGTTACTGCTAGAGTATTATGGGCTACGTACATTCCTCCTGTCTTCATGAAATACGATTTTAGGATTGACCAGACACTCTTCTTAGTTAAAATATTTTTAATTTTTTAGAATCTCAGTACATGGAAACTCCTGTCCCAGATGCAGAAGAGGCAGAGGAGGAAGTTAAGAAGAAAATATCAGAAAGCTTCTTCTATGATTATATGGAGCTGGCTTCGATGCCTTTTGTGACTCCGGATTCAGACATACCGCTGGATCTTCTTACACTTGTGTATCCACTCCAGTTACATATGTATAATCTTGGAATTTCAGCTTTTTAGGTCAGGGGTTGGCAAACTGCAGCCCATGGACCAAATCTGGCCTCTGGCCTTTTTCCCTAAATAAAGCTTTATTGGAACACAGCAATGCTCATTCATTTACATGAAGTCTATGACTGCCATCACACTACAAGGGCAGATTTAAGTAGTTACAACAGAAATCATCTGGCTCACAAAGCCTAAAATATTTACTACCTGGCCCTTTACAAAAACAGTTTGCCAACCCCTATTTTAGGTAATTCTAAGAAGCTTAAGATAGAAATGCTTGATCTTAATTTAAACTAAGCTTTTGTTAGCTTTTGTTAGATGCCAAATAACCATAAAGAGATATAATGCTTTTCTGGCTGTCCTTTCAGGAGATGTGATGTGAAGGAGACCAGGAGGCCTCTTATCCCCATTTACCTCTACCAGATTGGCACCCCTTTTTCAATGCCTGTTAAGTTAAAATCATTGATCTCCCTGCTTGAAACGCTGACATGGCCATTGTCAGGCATTACTGCTTTCGCATTATTTACCAGATGAGTTACAGAGAAGACAGCCCTGAGGAAGTGGGCACAATATAACCCATTTTAATAGAAGAATAAAAGTCTGTGAAGAAAAGTAAAAGTGGGATGATTAACAAGGGGATTTAGGGTTTGCCATCACTTTATGATGTTAGGTTTGTGAGGTGCTAGTTAGGAGACAATTTCCATTAAGGCCCTTGGTTAGCAATTTAGCATGCCTACCCTCAGAAGGGCAGTGGTTATGACCGCATGGCCCAGACACTGACTGGCCCCTTATAAAAGGGGTGCTGAGAGGGGAAGGGCAGTGTACTTCCTGACCCAGTTTTGCTTTTTATGTAAAAATAGATCATGTTATTGTTATTATATCTTCTAACTTTATTTTGATCCCAGGTGTAACTAAAACTAATTCACCCTGAAATTCGTAACCTGGAGTTTTCTCTCTTGAGGGCCTTTTTTTTTCCTTTGTGGCCTTTGGACAGGTTACTGATAAAAGTTATGCAGTTGGCCTTCTAGTCGATTTTTTTCAAATGAAGTGGTTTATTAGTCACCTAGAAGCTTTTCCTGAAATGCACGTGCTCTGATAGCTTCCTGGACCTACTGCATTATTTCCACGTGGAGAGGGGCTTGGGTATATATGTACTCTGAAAAAGCTTCTCGGGTAATTTTGATTGTGCTGCCTTCTCCCAGCTCTCAACACTGGGGATTTGGTGCTTCTGAATACAAGGATCTCTGTATTAGAGAGAGATGCCTAGCCTGTAAATAAGGGAGTCAGAGCGATCTTGACGTTTGGCTCAGTGCATGAATCCTTTCTACTCATGCTGGAGGAGTGGCTGTATAAGCTGTGGACTTGAACACTTTCAAAACCAGGGCAATCACAAAGCAGCTTATCCCATTTTTGAATAGCTTACATTATTAGAGAGCTCCTCCAGGCCTTGAATTACAATCTGCCTTTCTGGAATGTCCTGCGTTAGACTTAGTCCTACTCTCTAGAGATGAAAAAATATAATCTCTGTTTCTTGTGAGAAGCTGTAAGAAGTCTGCTCTCATGTATCCCCATATACCCTTTTAATTCTTCATCTACTTCAGTTTTAACATGTGTGTTTTCTAAATCAATCAAGAAAGTATAATTTATAAAATATCACCTAAACCACAGCATAATTTGTAGAAGACACTAAACAGCACTTAAGACAGTGTTTAAACACCACTTTAAAGTGGAGGTTCTAGATGGACATGGACAAACAGCGAAGGCCCTGGGCCTCTGATAGGAAGTTAAGAATAGGTGCCAAAAGGGAGGATGAGATAAAACAGAAGGGAGATGAAGGTACGTCAGAATACATTTTAACATTTTCAGAGCCCTGCTTAGGGACTGCCTTGTCCTCTGGGGTTTAAAGGGAAAGATCAGACTCTAGTTATTCATTCATTCATTCATTCAACCGAATAGGCTCAAGACTCTGTGGTAGGCATTCCAGGAAACAGATGAATGAGAAGCAGTCTCTGCCCTCAAGCAGGTTGTGATTGATTTAGAGGGAAAGTGTTTGGCAAGCTACAGTCTAACCCATTTCTGCATTTGAAAGGGCCTTCAATCAAAACAGCAGCAAGTGAGAGGGAGTTTCCCCCCTGAAATTACAGATGATAATATTAGATAAATGATCATGTCTCCGATTCCCTGCTGTCATCCAAGTTAGTGAAGGGATGGTAGCCCGCTTCTACCCTCATAGTTAGACATTCTTCTAGCCCTTTAGAATATTACACTGGCACCTGGGAAAAGGGAAAGGAGAGAAGGAAGAAGGAAAGGTGAGAACAGTAGTTTAGGGAGAGGGTAGGCAAAACTTCCTGCCCCATACCAGGCTCTGTAAAGATAAGGGGCTGTAGACCCTACTCTTTATTTGTGAAGCGGCCCCAGGTATTCTCCATGAGGGCAGAATAGCTTCATCTAGATCTTGGATCACATATTCATTTGCATTTCTATATAAGATTCAATTTTAGGCGTTAATGTCTTTTAAATTTATAAAATTCCTTTTTCTTGTACAAATGCCCTGAAATGTTCTCTCTCTCTTTTTTCAATTTAACTATGAGGCAGTGAGATAGGTATAGTTACTTGTAGTTAGTTATAATTTATATATTCTTCACAATTCAAATTGCGTTAATTAAAATTTGCTCTTCCTTTTTTACATTCGACATATCGTTCTTGTTAAAAGTTTTGTATAATTTCTTTCTCTGAAAATATTTCCTTACAAATAAGGGGAATCGTCTAAAATCAGACTGAAAAAACAAAACAAAAACAAGGGCTCAAGAAATAAGGATTGCTCCAGTGATCCTTCAACTTTTGTGTTCAGCAATGAATTCTTGGAAAATAAGAATATATCTACTTAAGATACACCACATAATATATTTCTTTGCCAAACTATAATTTTTTAATAGTTGATCTCATTTAATTATTACACTTATATCTTGGGTTATATTAATTTGAGCTTGAACTTAATAACAAAGTACACTTAAAAAATGTTTTATAGCTCAGTTTTTTAAATCTCTTTTGAATTAATGCAGTTTTACTCTATAGCATAAACGCACACACACGTATATACTCATCTGCACACCCGTACATACTAATGATCTTGGAAAGGAAATGTTAGCCTATTTATTTTATATACGTATATATTATGTATTATTTAGTCAATTTTTATCATTTTCATATGATTAAATTTCAATTATATTTATGTGAATTTCTTACAGTAGTCACATTGTCACTGGTGTGTCAGAATTTCACAAACATGTCAGAATTTTAAACATCTTGCCTTTCAGCATCAAGGAAGAGGCCTACATGATCCTTTTACTATGTTCAGTCAACAAACTGGACAGGCTTTGGGAGTACAAAGATGGCAAAGACAGACTTTCTCCCACATTATAATGTGATTTAGTTTTAGCAGGAGAGAGGAAAATGAAATTATTTAGGGGACTACTTTACTCTCTATAGTACCCAAATAGAAAGTTTATTTTTTATTGCAAACAAAATTAATGTGCTTTCAGGGTTTTCCTAGGAAAACTAAAAGACTGAATCAGAGTATGAGAATTTCCACCTAATTTAAAAACAAGATTACATTAGTAATACAGTAAATAACTCTAAGTTTCAGCATAAAATTCAACTACTTCAACCCTGGATCTTTATCTAACTAAGGGTATGGGTTTTAAAAATATATTCATTTCATTACTTTTCCCCTCTCTAGGATGGTTATGTTGTTTCACTGGTTTTCCTTTGCAACTTTCCCTCAGACACTCCTTTGGTTATGACTGCAGAAAGCGGGCCAACCTACAACTTCTGGACAGCAATATGGTGTTGTACGTAGCTGGGAACCAGCTGATCCTTCTGAATTTGAAAACCAAGGAACAGACCTACCTGCGAAGTAGCAGTGGCAGGGGAATTGGTGTCATTGGGGTATGCCTTTAGTAACTTAGAAAACAAAAATCCATCCATGTGTTTGTTCTGTGGACCAGCCAGGCTGTGAGGAGGGATTACATGAGATGCACAGCAGTCTTTATTCTAAGGCATTTTCAATTCACGATGACAACCACTACGTTCACTGACATTAGCTCCATGCAATATTATAATATTATATTAATAATATTATAATCTCATTTTGCAGATAAGGAAACTGGGGCTAATAGAGGTTGAGTGACTTTCCCATAGTCATGCAGGTTTTTCACAGTAAATGCTATGTTGCTATTCTGCAAAAATACTGAAATGAATAACACAAATGATAATTCACATAATAACTAAAGCTAAGTACCAGATAAAAGAGTTGAACATTAGGAAATGAAGCATAAATTGTACATTCGGTAGTTTCAAGCAGTTGACAAAAAGATCTGTGTGTGATTTCGAGTCTGTCTCTTCATTCCTCCTCAGGTGTCTGTCTCCATCAGTCGTTTTCTTTCTTGTATCTTCAGCCTTTACTTCCTTAGGCATCCTCAGCATAAAAGCATACTAAATCAACTTGTTCTCATTTTAAAAGGCCCCTCTCTGGGAATTCCCTGGTGGTTCAGTGGTTAGAACTCCGCGCTTCCACTGCAGGGGGCGCGGGTTCAACCCCTGGTCGGGGAATTAAGAAATCGCAAGTCGTGTGCACGGCCAATTAAAAAAAAAAAATGAGGCAAAACCAAAAAGCTAGGTATATATACACAAGTACATGCTACGGTGGCACCAGCTGTTGCAAATATTCACAGGCCCGACATGAAGGCTCTGTGGAGGAAGTTGGTCGGGACCATCTCAAAGTACCATGAGCCCTGAGGTCCCCCCGCATCTGCAGAAGACTGAGCAATATCTAGCCTGCTTATTTTTCTATCACTTTGTGGCCAACGATAGTTTTGAAATGTCCGTCTTTCTATTTTGTGGCACAATAATTTGGTTTGAGGTCAGTAGTTAGGGGTGTAGTGTGAACAAGAATGCTAACCCTAAACCTCACCCTCCTGAACCCTGAGCGCTTGTGTGTCGGCGGGGCTCTTCTCCATGTGTGCTGGGGCTGCTGGTGCCCAGACAGTGACAGGGACCTTCCTGCACTGCCCATGTCACTTCAATTTTTCTGAAATAGTTATCCATTTGTGGATGAGAAATGCTCTTGTGAGGCTATGAGAAAGCCATGAGAAATGTGGTTTGGGGGATATAAGCTCTCTTCCAGAAAAGACAGGGTGAATTTATGTGTTGAGTGTAAGTAGATGTCTTGCTTGTCCTAGGTCTCCATTAAAAATAAAGCAAAACACTAAACGCAGGGTAAGCAATTCATCTAACTTAGTTGTTCTCAAAGAGTGGTCCCCAGATTCAGCATCACCTGGGAAATTGTTAGAAATGTAAATGCAGAATATCAGGTCCCAGCTCCAATTTACTGAATCAGAAACTCTAGTGTTAAAGCTTGCAATCTGTGCTTTAATAAGCCCTGCCTGTGATTCTGATGGCTGCTAAAGATTGGGAACCACTGTTCTAGCTCTTCTGATGGCAATTAAAAAAATTGTAGAGTTAAGACATGACTCTCTTAATGAAAGTAAAACTTAAAATGAGTATTCTTCTAGTTTTCAGTTTAAATTATATCCATTGTCAAGTATTTATTAGATGCCGAGTTTTGAGTTTTCTGTTAGAATGGATCCTAATAAACAAATTATAAGGTAACAGATGCTAAATACTGTACTAACTGAGTGATTTATATGATAATCTCCCTTTCAGTGCTTTAGTGAGATTTTATCTTTTATAGGTTCACCCCCAAAAAACTTACTTCACAGTAGCAGAAAAAGGAGTTTTCCCCAAGATTATCATTTATGAATATCCTTCTTTGAGGCCCTACAGAATACTTCAAGGTGAGTCTAGTAGAATCTTTAAAATATCTCACGTTTAAGGTTAACAACATTTTGAAGATGTAACATTATTGTAGCAGTCGGGGTCCTCCAGAGCAACACAGCTGGTGGGAGATAGATGAGAGATTTATTTGAAGGAACTGGCTTATGTAATTACGAGGGCTGGCAAATCTGAAGTTTGTAGGGCAGGCTAGCAGGCTGGAAATTCTTGGGAAGGAATTGATTCTACATCTAAGGGCAGAACTTCTGCTTGCTCAGGAAAACCTTAGTTCTGCTTTAAGTGCTTTCAGCTGATGGGATGAGGCCCACCCAGGTTACCAAGGATAATCTTAACTGATTATAGATGTTGACCACATCTACAAACTATCTTCACAGCAACATCTAGATTAATGTTTAATTGAATAACTGGGTACTATAGCCCAACCAAGTTGACACATAAAATTACCATCACAATTATCTTACAATTCTGTTTTCCATATAATTAATTTCAGTAGTCAATTTTAAAAAAAGATTTTATTTTTCAGAGCAGTTTTTAGGTTTACAATAAAATTGAGAGGAAGTTTCAGAGATTCCCACATACCCTCTCCCCTCACTCATGCTTAGCCTACTCATTATCAACATAACTCATCAGAATGGTACATTTTTTACCAAGGATGAGTCGATGTTAACAGTCACAATTACCCAAAGTCCGTAGTTTCCCTTAGAGTTCACTTGTGGTGTTCTGTATTCATTTAGACAAATGTATAATGACATATATCCATCATTATAACATCATTCAGTATTCTGAATAGGAGTTTTCCCAAAGCCTGTCCTAAATATCGTCTGTGCTCTATTCATAACTGCCCTACCCTCTCTGGCAACCACTGATCTTTTATTGTCTCCATAGTTTTGCCTTTTCCAAAATGTCATAGAGTTGGAATTATACAGTACACAGCCTTCTCAGATTGGCTTCTTTCACTTAGTACTATGCATTTAAGCTTCCTCCTTGTCTTTTAATGGCTTGATAGTCCATTTCTTTTTAGTGCTCAATAATATTCCATTGTCTGGATGTACTACATCTTATGTATCCGTTCACCTATTAAGGGGCATTTTAGCTGCTGTCATTCATTTCAGTTACATATAAGCTTATATATAAGCATTCATTTCACTTACATAACACACACACGGACATAAGCATACATAATCAAATACGTTATTGCTTTTATTTTGAACAGTTATCTGTTACATCAATCAAGAATAAGAAAAATAAAAGTTTTATTTTACTTTCATTTACTCCTTTGCTTCTCTTCCTTTATGTAGATCCAAGTTTCTGACCCATATTATTTTCCATCTTTCTAAAGAAATTCTTTTAACATTTCTTGCAAGGCAGGTCTCCTGGCAACAGATTCCCTCAGTGTTTGTTGGTCTGAGAAAGTTTTTATCTGTCACCTTTTTTTTTTTTTTTTTTTTTGCGGTACGCGGGCCTCTCACTGTTGTGGCCTCTCCCGTTGCGGCCTCTCCCGTTGCGGAGCACAGGCTCAGCGGCCATGGCTCACGGGCCCAGCCGCTCCGCTCCGCGGCACGAACCCTCGTCCCTGCATCGGCAGGCGGACTCTCAACCACCGGGGAAGCCCTATCTGTCACCTTTGAAGGATAATTTTTCAGGGCGCAGAATTCTAGGTTAGTGTTTTTTAGGTAAGATTTTTGTCCCCCCTCTTTTTCTTTTTTCCCCAGTATTTTTTTTTCTTTATCTTTCATTTTCTGTAGTGTTTCTGGGCATTTATCCTGGTTGGTGAGCTCTGAGCTTCCTGGATCCATGGTTTGGTGTGTGACATTAATTTGGGAAATTTCTCAGTCATTATTGGTTTAAATATTTCTTATGTTCCTCTTTCTTCTTCTGGTATTCCCACCACACATACATTACACCTTTTGTATTTGACCCACAGCCCTTGGATATTCTGTTCTGTTTTTATCAGTCTTTGTTCTCTTTGCTTTTTGGTTTTTGAAGATTCTATTGAGATATCCTGTAGCTAAGAGTCTTTCCTCAGCTGTGTCCAATCTAGTAATGAGCCCATCAAAAGCATTCTTCATTTGTGTTAGTGTTTTTTTTTATCTCTAGCATTTCTTTTTGGTTCTTTCCTTAGGATTTCCATCTCTCTACTGACATTGCCTATCTGCTCTTATATGTTGTCTACTTTATCTGTTAGAGCCCTTAGCATATTAATTATAGTTGTTTTAAATTCCCAATATGACAATTCCAACATCTTTGCCATGTCTGGTTGTGCTGCATGCTTTGTGTCTTCAAACTGTCTTTTTTTTGCTTTTTGGTATGCCTTGTAATTTTTTCTGGGTAGCCAGACATGATGTACTGGGTAAAAAGAACTGCCTTAAATAGGACTTTAGTCACCTGGTGGTAAGGTGTGGGGCAGGGGAAGCATTCTCTAGTCCTGGGATTAAGTCTCAGTTTTTTGGTGAGCCTATGCCTCTGGACTGTGAACTTCACAAATGTTTCTCAGCATTTTTCTCCCCTCTTAGGTAGGACAGGATGGCTAGAGTGGGCTGGGTTGGATATTTCCTTCTCCAGGTCAGTTAAGCTCTGATAACATTCCAACCGTCAGGCTCTGGTTAATTAGTTTCCCCTGAGGGCAGACCTTATTAAGAAGAACAGAGGCTCTCCGGTATTTCAAAATGGTTCCTTTTGCCCTCTTTCTGTTGGAAGCCTGGGGGAATTTTTCTAGATGTTTTTACTTTAGGAATCTGGTCAACTCCTGGAGGTAAATCTCACAATATTGTTGGGGCCACCTTATGACTGGGTCCCCCTGGAGTTTTTAATTCTCAGACTTGTCCACACTGAGCCTCCAGCAATTCGTCAGTTAGAGTTCATGTTTTACTTCACCGGCAGTGGTTCCTTGAGCTGTTCTGGCTGTTGCTGCTTGGAAGCCTCTGCTGTGGTGAGTTGCAAATCCCTGTATTTACCTGGTGGTCTCTCCATTCTTGGGGGCAGGGGTTTGCCCTGGTTCCTTTCTTCTCGTACAGATCCAAGAAGAGCTGTTGATTTTTCAGTCTGTTCAGCTTTTTAATTGTTGTTAGGATGGAATGGTGATTTCTTAGCTCCTCACATGCATAAACAGAAACCTGAAGTCATCAATTTTTATTTCGTGAAATTTTCAGTGACAGATTTTAAATTGATTTCTCTCTGCCGTCTAATATGCTTTTGTGTCACCCTTCCCAGCTTCATAAAGTAGAATGTATTCTCAAAGTGTTTTTCTCATGCAAAGTGTGATTAAGATTTCTTCACCCTCCCCCCTCCCCCCATATCATGTAGTTCATTCTACAGCCAAGGGTGATGAGTGATTTTGGAATTGTTTCTTTAGGGGAGTCTTTGCATTCTTCCACCAATGCACACCACTAAGGGTGCTCTCTCTCTCTCTTTTTAAAATTTTATTTATTTATTTGTGGTATGCGGGCCTCTCACTGCCCTGGCCTCTCCCGCCGCGGAGCACAGGCTCCGGACGCGCAGGCCCAGCGGCCATGGCTCACGGGCCTTCTGCTCCACGGCACGTGGGATCTTCCCGGACCGGGGCACGAACCCCCGCCCCCTGCATCGGCAGGCGGACTCTCAACCACTGCGCCACCAGGGAAGCCCTCTCTCTTTTTTTTAATTTAAATAATACACTTTTGAAAAGTAAGTGCTGTTCGTGTTCATTAGACTTGCATTCATCTTTTCATCCTTTCAGATGGGACTGATCTGGCCTATGCATATGTAGACTTTAACTGCGATGGTACCTTGCTGGCCTCTGTTGGTGGCAGCCCTGACTACACACTGACAATCTGGAATTGGAAAGAAGAGCAGCCCCTACTGAGGACAAAAGCTTTTTCCCAGGAAGTGTTCAAGGTTACTTTCAATCCTGAAGATGACGAGCAGCTTACTACATCGGGATCCGGCCACATCAAGTAGGTTGCGTGACTGATACAGGTGCTAGTCATTTATTGTTAGGGTCTTTTCTAAGAGGATTGACCAGCTGGAGACATTTTTGCTGATGTTGTTAACATTAGGATAATTTTTAAATGTGTTATTTAAAAAACTAACTGTAGTGCCGCTTTTCTAGTTGGGTATGGAGATTTTATTACTGAAAACAGCATAGATAAAAGAAGGGCTTTTGAATTTTGCTTGCTGCCTTCTTGTAGGCTTCACTTCCTAAGAGAGTTTGTATAATGCCTTAGTAACATTGGCGTGCTGTGTCCAAGTTCATATTGAACTTTCATATCCACTGTTCAATGTGTTGTAGTGATACTGTGAGATGGATAAGTCATATTGATGTCTCTGAACTCAGTCTTCACTTGTAGAATAAGAATTATAACAGAACCATTCCTGATGCAGGACCCTCAATACTAAATGGTAACAGAGCCTACTCTTGCTCTCAGGTCTCTGGGTGTTTTCCACTATATTATACCCTTTGTTCTTTGTTCAGGATGGAATTGATTTTGTCCTTTATTTAACAACCTTCTAGCACTACTCTTGAGCTGCCCTTAACTTGATTCCCAGTGTCTCTTTATGAGAAAGGTTTTTTAATCTATCTTAAATCCTTTTCATTACAATTTAAGTCTGGTCCTTTTGAAATATAGAATAATTGAACAGATTTTTAAATCTTGGAATTGTCAACTAACTCTCTGCTGGCTATAGGTTAAAAAATTCTAATTTTTCCATTGTTTACTAGAGTGCATATTTTCTATGTACTATGTCTTTGGGGAAAGATAGACCTTGAACAATTTCATGTGTGGTGTGCTGTAAAAGAAACAGAGGAAATGGAAACATGATCAGGGGACCTACAACAGCCTTGGAGAAGAGTGTTGGTCATTTAGGCTCTTGGCTTTATATTATTGGCTTGTTGATACTGTCCATTATCTATTCTACATCCAGTTGGTAGGCCAGATTCTTTCATTTTTCTACATGGTTTTTCATCATTCTGACTATTCATTTGTTTAGATTATGAATAAGAAAATATTAGTAACTTAACATCTATTGACTTTATGTGCTAGGCACTGTTCTAAAAGAGTTTTTCAACAATTTCATGAGGTTGGTGCAAATAATATTCTCAGTTTACACATGAGCGAATGAAAGTACAATGTGATCAAGAAAATCACTCAAAGTTACACAACAAGTAAATTAGAACTTTTGGAAAACTTTTATATCCTCTAAAGTGGTACTATGCAGTAGAACTTTCTGCTAGGGTGGGAGTGTTCTGTGCTGGCCAATCTAGTAGACAGTAGCCACATGTAGCTATTGAATACTTGAAACTGGTCAGTCTGAATGAAACACTGATGTTTAAATTTTATTTAATGTTAATTACTTTAAGTCTAAATTAAAATAGTCAAATGTGTGGCTATTGCATAGGAAAACACAACTCTAAAATGTAAGATCTGCAAAGGCATGGAATTTTTTCTTTTTGGACTATTTTGCTCGATGCCGAATTCATATTGCCTAGAAGTTTGCCTGACAGGTAGTTGATACTTAATACATTTTAATTGAATGAATGGATAAATGAAATAATATGTGACTATGAAATATGTAAGTGTTTGGGTGATATTAAAATTAATAAAATTTCTTTGAGGTACATTCAGGCTCTTATTTGTTGGCAGGTTCTGGGAAATGGCTCTAACATTCACTGGCCTCAAGCTTCAGGGTTCATTGGGTCGATTTGGCAAAACAGCCACTAATGATATAGAAGGTTACATGGAGCTCCCAGATGGGAAGGTGAGTACAGCTACTATTCTACAATAATGAAATTATTTAAATGAAATGAAGTGATATATATATATATGAAAGCAGTCTAAAAAGCACTGCCAGTATTGGCAATAACAGATACTATAATTGCAAATATAATGAGCTTTTAATTTTGCCTTTTCAGATTATCAATTTTAATTCTGTGAAATTTTCATAATCCACATGTACATATCATTTTGTCTTTATTAAATATTATATACACATATAAAGTATGTGAACATTTTCATATATTCACATAGTACTGGTCACTTTTAACTATGTCATGGAGTTGCAACGTTTATAGTGTTTATCTTTCCCTTCTCTCTTCTTTGCCATGATCCTCCAAGAAGACTTACTGGGTCAAAGGTTATATACAGTCTTGTGGCTTTTGCTTTTATTACCAAATTATTGTTCAGGAAGATTGAGCCACTGTATAGTGACATCTACAACACTGCAATTTTAATCTGTTAGTTTCTTCTTCTTCTTATAAAATTTATAGACATATTGCCTATAGGATCAGTTCTCCATTAATATTGTATAAGGCTTCCTATTAGGACGAGTTATATAGTATTATTTGTGGTCATCTCAGTTATAAGTAAATGCCAACATACAAATATTACTCTGAGGAACCAAATGGTCTAGTGATTGCCTAGTGGAATATTCTTAATTTGAAATCATGGTGTATGGTAGGAAATAAAAAGGCTTGGGTGCTGGCTAAATTATAAATTATATATCCAAACCTATAAGATGATAATAAATCATTCCAGCTTCAAATTCTGTAAGAATTAAGCTAAAGATCATTAAAAACATGGTATGAGATATATCTGAAAAAGGTTCAGAAGAGTTTGTGTAGAGGTAGGGGAGAAAAGAACCCATTTTAAATGAAAGAGCCACAAAAGGAAATATTTAGAGTTAGGAGTAAATATTACATATTTAGAGGATTAGTTGGAGTACTCATGTTGGGAAGGAGTGGGAAATGAGATTGAGAAGTATGGTGGGGCCCTAGTGTATGAGGACTGGAACAGCCAGGCGGAACTATTAGGTTCTGGAAGAGTAGAGTTGCAAATGAAAGAAGTTATATATAAATTTGGCCACAAATACCAAGCATATTAGAAGGGAAATGTGGAGTCAAGGAGATGAGCTCAGAAGGAAGATACTGCTTTTATGTAAGAAGAGAAAATGAGAGTCTGGACTCTACTCAGGACAAATGGAAGAGGGAAGCTAGACATGAGTGACATTTCAGAAAGAAATGACTTGTAGGCTTTGGTGACTTTTGGTGGTTTTAGTTACTGGACAGAAAAAAAGAAGTCTAAGTAAAGACAAGTGGGCTGAGGCTTAATAGGTAAAATAGGTAGAATAGATAAGCATAGGTAGACTGGAGAAGTAGAAAAGACTGAGTCAGGTCATAAGTTCCTCTAGGTGAGAGGAAAATGGGGCTGCAGAGTCCTCGAGCAGGCAGGCAAGAATTAGACCAGAGTTCCCCAAAGGGCATCGCCTGCAACATTCTTTTGCACAGAAACTCTATGAAAAGACTTTCCTGGTCAAATTCCTTTGCAGCTAGAAATTTCTCATGGTGATTCCCAGTGAACATTTCTGTATGAAAGCTTCCAAGGGGGGCTTCCCTGGTAGTGGTTGAGAGTCTGCCTGCTAATACAGGGGACACGGGTTCGAGCCCTGGTCTGGGAGGATCCCACGTGCCGCGGAGCGACTGGGCCCGTGAGCCACAACTGCTGAGCCTGCGCATCTGGAGCCTGTGCTCCGCAACAAGAGAGGCCGCGATAGTGAGAGGCCCGCGCACCTCGATGAAGAATGGCCCCCGCTTGCCACAACCGGAGAAAGCCCTCGCACAGAAACGGGGACCCAACACAGCCAAAAATTAATTAATTAATTAATTTAAAAAAAAAGAAAAAAACGCTTCCAAGGGGTCCTAGAGAAAAGAAACTTGTTTGACTTTGTTTTTCCTAGCATATGTCTTTTGAGGCAGCATTAGTTGGAATGGGAGGTTTTGAGCCACAGCGCGTGGTTTAGAACCCTGACTCCTCTGAGTAATTTTGGGCAACGTACTTAACTGTTCTGTGCTTCAGTTTTTTTACTTTATAAAATGGGGATAGTAATAGTCAGGACTTCCATCATCAGCCCAGATGGTTCCTTTGTGCAAATGAGAAAAACTGTCTCTTCTGGGAAAATAAAGTACCCAACCTGTACAACAGCACATGGTATCCTTGGTAAATGTACCTAGTTCATATGGTTTTTAGGATTAAATAACAACATATGTTAAGTGCTCAAGCACTGCTTGGCATGGAGTCAATACTCAATTAGTATTACTTATTATATTAGTTAAACATCTTAAGAACTAGTGTTTGGTGGTACATACTTTGGGAAGTGCTGGATTAAGTGCATTAATGTGAAGTGGTTCTAGATGATCATCCTTATTTGAAATTGAATTATATTCTGCTATAATTTGCTGAGTTCAGTACTGACCTCACAATTATCAAACATAACATTTGATATTATCACTCTTAAAAAGTAGAATTTCATCTATCAAGAACTTTAAACATGTCTCTAAATTTTGACCTGGTAATTCCACTCCTGGGTTGTGTCCTTAAGAGATGTACAAAGAAATCTACTGCCGATATGTTTGAAAAATTAACCAGCATACACAATGAGGTAAAACTATATATAACGCTAGGAGCAAATATGTCAAAATGTGACAAGTGGTTGTTTCTGGGGTAGTGAATTTTCATAGCTGTATTTTATTATTTTAAAAATTAAAAAAATTTTTACTTTCATAACCAAGAAAAATCTTTAGAAACAAGTCTCACCAGCTCTTTGAAGCATATATACACGTTTGTCTGTCTTCATGCACGTTCTTTCCTTTCCGCACACCTGCCAGGTGCTCTCAGGGTCAGAATGGGGCAACATGCTGCTTTGGGAAGGTGGCCACATCAAAGTCGAGCTGAGTCGAGCTGCAGGCAAGACTTGTCACCAGGGTCCCATTAACCAGATAATGCTGGACGAGGGTGAAGTCATCACCATCGGGTCAGATGGATGTGTTAGGGTAAGTTTTCTTTACACTTGGACAGTAGCCCACATCAAAACCTTGCAGATCACCCTGTGGGTTTTATCAGATTTTTATTTCTCACAAAGGTCACTTGATGAAGGAGATCAGTGGTCATTTACTCCTAGGGCCACCTCATTTTAAATAATGCTTCTCTTGTGGTAAATATTTAAATTCTAGTCAAAATTCATTTACATCTTGGCACTGAAGTTTTCTGAGGGGACCTTTTGTTATTTTGATTCTGTTGATATATCAATAGTAGCTTCGGAAAATGAATATCCATGTTAGCACAATATTTTTTTTCTTTAGATATCAATTTGTTTTTATTTTATGTATTTTTTTAACATCTTTATTGGGGTATAATTGCTTTACAATGGTGTGTTAGTTTCTGCTTTATAACAAAGTGAATCAGTTATACATATACATATGTTCCCATATCTCTTGCCTCTTGCATCTCCCTCCCTCCCACCCTCCCTATCCCACCCCTCCAGGTGGTCACAAAGCACCGAGCTGATCTCCCTGTGCTATGCGGCTGCTTCCCACTAGCTATCTACCTTACGTTTGGTACTGTATATATGTCCATGCCTCTCTCTCGCTTTGTCACAGCTCACCCTTCCCCCTGCCCATATCCTCAAGTCCGTTCTCTAGTAGGTCTGTGTCTTTTTCCTGTCTTAACCCCAGGTTCTTCATGACATTTTTTGTCTTAAATTCCATATATATGTGTTAGCATATGGTATTTGTCTTTCTCTTTCTGACTTCCTTCACTCTGTATGACAGACTCTAGGTCTATCCACCTCATTACAAATAGCTCAATTTCGTTTCATTTTATGGCTGAGTAATATTCCATTGTATATATGTGCCACATCTTCTTTATCCATTCATCCGATGATGGGCACTTAGGTTGTTTCCATCTCTGGGCTATTGAAAATAGAGCTGCAATGAACATTTTGGTACATGACTCTTTTTGAATTATGGTTTTCTCAGGGTATATGCCCAGTAGTGAGATTGCTGGGTCATATGGTAGTTCTATTTGTAGTTTTTTAAGGAACCTCCATACTGTTCTCCATAGTGGCTGTACCAATTCACATTCCCACCAGCAGTGCAAGAGTGTTCCCTTTTCTCCACACCCTCTCCAGCATTTATTGTTTCTAGATTTCTAGATATCATCTCATCTCATCAATGAGATGATATCTCATTGTAGTTTTGATTTGCATTTCTCTAATGATTAATGATGTTGAGCATTCTTTCATGTGTTTGTTGGCAGTCTGTATATCTTCTTTGGAGAAATGTCTATTGAGGTCTTCTGCCCATTTTTGGATTGGGTTGTTTGTTTTTTTGTTATTGAGCTGCATGAGCTGCTTGTAAATTTTGGAGATTAATCCTTTGTCAGTTGCTTCATTTACAAATATTTTCTCCCATTCTGAGGGTTGTCTTTTGGTCTTGTTTATGGTTTCCTTTGCTGTGCAAAAGCCTTTAAGTTTCATTAGGTCCCATTTGTTTATTTTTGTTTTTATTTCCATTTCTCTATGAGGTGGGTCAGAAAGGATATTGCTGTGATTTATGTCATAGAGTGTTCTGCCTATGTTTTCCTCTAAGAGTTTGATAGTTTCTGTCCTTACATTTAGGTCTTTAATCCATTTTGAGCTTATTTTTGTGTATGGTGTTAGGGAGTGATCTAATCTCATACTTTTACATGTACCTGTCCAGTTTTCCCAGTACCACTTATTGAAGAGGCTGTCCTTTCTCCACTGTACATTGCTGCCTCCTTTATCAAAGATAAGGTGACCATATGTGTGTGGGTTTATCTCTGGGCTTTCTATCCTGTTCCATTGATCTGTCTTTCTGTTTTTGTGCCAGTACCATACTGTCTTGATTACTGTAGCTTTGTAGTATAGTCTGAGGTCAGGGAGCCTGATTCCTCCAGCTCCGTTTTTCGTTCTCAAGATTGCTTTGGCTATTTGGGGTCTTTTGTGTTTCCATACAAATTGTGAAATTTTTTGTTCTAGTTCTGTGAAAAATGCCAGTGGTAGTTTGATAGGGATTGCATTGAATCTGTAGGTGGCTTTGGGTAGTAGAGTCATTTTCACAATGCTGATTCTTCCAATCCAAGAACATGGTATATCTCTCCATCTATTTGTATCATCTTTAATATCTTTCATCAGTGTCTTATAATTTTCTGCATAAAGGTCTTTTGTATCCTTAGGTAGGTTTATTCCTAGATATTTTATTCTTTTTGTTGCAGTGGTAAATGCGAGTGTTTTCTTGATTTCACTGTCAGATTTTTCATCATTAGTGTATAGGAATGCCAGAGACCTCTGTGCATTAAATTGTATCCTGCTACTTTACCAAATTCATTGATTAGCTCTAGTAGTTTTCTGGTAGCATCTTTAGGATTCTCTATGTATAGTATCATGTCATCTGCAAACAGTGACAGCTTTACTTCTTCTTTTCTGATTTGGATTCCTTTTATTTCCTTTTCTTCTCTGATTGCTGTGGCTAAAACTTCCAAAACTATGTTGAATAAGAGTGTGGAGAGTAGGCAACCTTGTCTTGTTCCTGATCTTAGTGGAAATGCTTTCAGTTTTTCACCATTGAGGATGATGTTGGCTGTGGTTTGTCATATTTGGCCTTTATTATGTTGAGGAAAGTTCCCTCTATGCCTACTTTCTGCAGGGTTTTTATCATAAATCCGTGTTGAATTTTGTCGAAAGCTTTCTCTGCATCTATTGAGATGATCATATGGTTTTTCTCCTTCAATTTGTTAATATGGTTTATCACATTGATAGATTTGTGTATACTGAAGAATCCTTGCATTCCTGGAATAAACCCCATTTGATCATGGTGTATGATCCTTTTAATGTGCTGTTGGATTCTGTTTGCTAGTATTTTGTTGAGGGTTTTTGCATCTATGTTCATCAGTGATATTGGCCTGTAGTTTTCTTTCTTTGTGACATCCTTGTCTGGATTTGGTATCAGGGTGATGGTGGCCTCGTAGAATGAATTTGTGAGTGTTCCTCCCTCTGCTATATTTTGGAAGAGTTTGAGAAGGATAGGTGTTAGCTCTTCTCTAAATGTTTGATAGATTTGCTTGTGAAGCCATCTGGTCCTGGGCTTTTTTTTGTTGCAAGAGTGTTAATCACAGTTTCAATTTCAGTGCTTGTGATTGGTCTGTTCATATTTTCTATTTCTTCCTGATTCAGTCTTGGCAGGTTATGCATTTCTAAGAATTTGTCCATTTTTTCCAGGTTGTCCATTTTATTGGCATAGAGTTGCTTGTAGTAATCTCTCATGATCTTTTGTATTTCTGCAGTGTCAGTTGTTACTTCTCCTTTTTCATTTCTAATTCTATTGATTTGAGTCTTCTCCCTTTTTTTCTTGTTGAGTCTGGCTAATGGTTTATCTATTTTGTTTATCTTCTGAAAGAACCAGCTTTTAGTTTTATTGATCTTTGTAATTGTTTTCTTTGTTTCTATTTCATTTATTTCTGCCCTGATCTTTATGATTTCTTTCCTTCTGCTAACTTTGGGATTTTTTTGTTTTTCTTTCTCTAATTGGTTTAGGTGCAAGGTTAGGTTGTTTATTCGAGACGTTTCCTGTTTGTTAAGGTGGGCTTGTATTGCTATAAACTTCCCTCTTAGAACTGCTTTTGCTGCATCCCATAGGTTTTGGGCCGTCGTGTCTCCATTGTCATTTGTTTCTAGGTATTTTTTGATTTCCTCTTTGATTTCTTCAGTGATCACTTCGTTATTAAGTAGTGTATTGTTTAGCCTCCATGTGTTTGTATTTTTTACAGATCTTTTCCAGTAATTGATATCTAGTCTCATAGCCTTGTGGTCAGAAAAGATACTTGGTACAATTTCAGTTTTCTTAAATTTACCAAGGCTTGATTTGTGACCCAAGACATGATCTAACCTGGAGAATGTTCCATGAGCACTTGAGAAAAATGTGTATTCTGTTGTTTTTGGATGGAATGTCCTATAAATATCAATTAAGTCCATCTTGTTTAATGTATCATTTAAAGCTTGTGTTTCCTTATTTATTTTCATTTTGGATGATCTGTCTGTTGGTGAAAGTAGGGTGTTAAAGTCCCCTACTATGAATGTGTTACTGTCGATTTCCCCTTTTATGGCTGTTAGTATTTGCCTTGTATATTGAGGTGCTCCTATGTTGGGTGCATAAATATTTACAATTGTTATATTTTCTTCTTGGATCGATCCCTTGATCGTTATGTAGTGTCCTTCTTTGTTCTCTTCTAATAGTCTTTATTTTAAAGTCTATTTTGTCTGATATGAGAATTGCTACTCCAGCTTTCTTTTGGTTTCCATTTGCATGGAATATCTTTTTCCATCCCCTTACTTTCAGTCTGTATGTGTCTCTAGGTCTGAAGTGGGTCTCTTGTAGACAGCATATATATGGGTCTTGTTTTTGTATCCATTCAGCCAATCTATGTCTTCTGGTGGGAGCATTTAGTCCATTTACATTTAAGGTAATTATCGATATGTATGTTCCTATTCTCATTTTCTAAATTGTTTTGGGTTCGTTATTGTAGGTCTTTTCCTTCTCTTGTGTTTCTTGCCTAGAGAAGTTCCTTTAGCATTTGTTGTGAAGCTGGTTTGGTGGTGCTGAACTCTCTCAGCTTTTGCTTGTCTGTAAAGGTTTTAATTTCTCCATCAAATCTGAATGAGATCCTTGCTGGGTAGAGTAATTTTGGTTGCAGGTTTTTCTCCTTCATCACTTTAAATATGTCCTGCCAGTTCCTTCTGGCTTGCAGAGTTTCTGCTGAGAGATCAGCTGTTAACCTTATGGTGATTCCCTTGTGTGTTATTTGTTGTTTTTCCCTTGCTGCTTTTAATATGCTTTCTTTGTATTTAATTTTTGACAGTTTGATTAATATGTGTCTTGGTATATTTCTCCTTGGATTTATCCTGTATGGGACTCTCTGTGCTTCCTGGACTTAATTAACTATTTCCTTTCCCATATTAGGGAATTTTTCAACTATAATCTCTTCAAATATTTTCTCAGTCCCTTTCTTTTTCTCTTCTTCTTCTGGAACCCCTATAATTCGAATGTTGGTGCGTTTAATGTTGTCCCAGAGGTCTCTGAGACTGTCCTCAGTTCTTTTCATTCTTTTTTCTTTTTTCTGCTCTGCAGTAGTTATTTCCACTATTTTATCTTCCAGGTCACTTATCCGTTCTTCTGCCTCAGTTTTTCTGGTATTGATCCCATCTAGATAATTTTTCATTTCATTTATTGTGTTGTTCATCGTTGTTTGTTTCATCTTTAGTTCTTCTAGGTCCTTGTTAAATGTTTCTTGCATTTTGTCTATTCTATTCCACGATTTTGGATCATCTTTACTATCATTATTCTGACTTCTTTTTCAGGTAGACTGCCTATTTCCTCTTCATTTGTTAGGTCTGGTGGGTTTTTATCTTGCTCCTTCATCTGCTGTGTGTTTTTCTGTCTTCTCATTTTGCTTATCTTACTGTGTTTGGGGTCTCCTTTTTGCAGGCTGCAGGTTCGTAGCTCCCGTTGTTTTTGGTTTCTGTCCCCAGTGGTTAAGATTAGTTCAGTGGGTTGTCTAGGCTTCCTGGTGGAGCGAACTAGTGCCTGTGTTCTGATTGATGAGGCTGGATCTTGTCTCTCTGGTGGGCAGGTCCATGTCTGGTGGTGTGTTTTGGGGTGTCTGTGGACTTATGATTTTAGGCAGCCCCTCTGCTTATGGGTGGGATTGTGTTCTTGTTTTGCTGGCATAGGGTGTCCAGCACTGTAGCTTGCTGGTCGTTGAGTGAAGCTGGGTGCTGGCGTTGAGATGGAGATCTCTGGGAGATTTTTGCCGTTTGATGTTATGTGGAGCTGGGAGGTCTCTTGTTGACCAGTGTCCTGAAGTTGGCTGTCTCACCTCAGAGGCACGGCACTGACTCCTGGCTGCAGCACCAAGAGCCTTTCATCCACACGGCTCAAAATAAAAGGGAGAAAAATTGGAGAGAAAGAATTAGTAGAAGTAGGAAGAAAGAAAGAAAGGAAGGAAGGAAGAAAGGAAAGAAGGAAAGAAAGGAGGGAGGGAGGGACGGTGGGAGGAAGGAAGGAAGGAGGGAAGGAAGGAAAAGAAAGAAGGTAAAGTAAAATAAAATAAAGTAAAATGTAATAAAGTTATTAAATTAAAAAATAATTATTAAGAAAAAGAATTTTAAAAAAAACGGACGGATAGAACCTTAGGACAAATGGTGGAAGCAAAGCTATACAGACAAAATCTCATACAGAAGCATACACATACACACTCACAAAAAGAGGAAAAGGGGAAAAAATCATAAATCTTGCTCCCAAAGTCCACCTCCTCAATTTGGGATGATTCATTGTCTATTCATGTATTCCACAGATGCTGGGTATATCAAGTTGATTGTGGAGCTTTAATCCGCTGCTTCTGAGGCTGCTGGGAGAGATTTCCCTTTCTCTTCTTTGTTCTCACAGCTCCCGGGGCTCAGCTTTGGATTTGGCCCCCCCTCTGTGTGTAGGTCGCAGGAGGGCGTCTGTTCTTCGTTCAGACAGGACGGGGTTAAAGGAGCAGCTGCTTCGGGGGCTCTGGCTCACTCAGGCCTGGGGGAGGGAGGGGTACAGAGTGTGGGGCGAGCCTGCGGCGGCAGAGGCCGGCGTGACGTTGCACCAGCCTGAGGTGCGCCGTGCGTTGTCCCGGGGAAGTTGTCCCTGGATCCCGGGAACCTGGCAGTGGCGGGCTGCACAGGCTCCCTGGAAGGGGGGTGTGGATAGTGACCTGTGCTCGCACACAGGTTTCTTGGTGGCGGCAGCAGCAGCCTTAGAGTCTCATGCCCGTCTCTGGGGTCCGCGCTTTTAGCCGCGGCTCGCGCCCGTCTCTGGAGCTCCTTTAAGCAGCGCTCTTAATCCCCTCTCCTCACGCACCAGGAAACAATGAGGGAAGAAAAAGTCTCTTGCCTCTTCAGCAGCTCCAGACCTTTCCCGGACTCTCTCCCGGCTAGCCGTGGTGCACTAACCTCTTCAGGCTGTGTTCACGCTGCCAACCCCAGTCCTCTCCCTGCGCTCCGACCAAAGCCTGAGCCTCAGCGCACAGCTCCGCCCGCCCCGGCGGGTGAGCAGACAAGCCTCTCGGGCTGGTGAGTGCCGGTCGGCACCGATCCTCTGTGCGGGAATCTCCCCGCTTTGCCCTCTGCACCCCTGTTGCTGTGCACTCCTCCGTGGCTCCGAAGCTCCCCACCTCCGCCGCCCGCAGTCTCCGCCCGCGAAGGGGCTTCCTAGTGTGTGGAAACTTTTCCTCATTCACAGCTGCCTCCCACTGGTGCAGGTCCTGTCCCTATTCTTTTGTCTCTGTTTATTCTTTTTTCTTTTGCCCTACCCAGGTACGTGGGGAGTTTCTTGCCTTTTGGGAGGTCTGAGGTCTTCTGCCAGCGTTCAGTAGGTGTTCTGTAGGAGTTGTTCCACGTGTAGATGTATTTCTGGTGTATCTGTGGGGAGGAAGGTGATCTCCGTGTCTTATTCTTACGCCATCTTCCCCTCGTCCCATGTTAGCACAGTATTAACAGTGGACTCAGATGTCCTTCTAAAATGCCTGGTATGAATGGGTCATTTTCTAGGGACAACGAGGCCAAACATTTGTTATGTAATTTTATACTGAGTTTACCGATTAGAAATACAAAGGTGAGCTGATAGGATTTGCCTTTGGATGCTCCCTTCCTGGTGCTCTGTGCACTAGTGAACTCGCTTGTCCTCACCTGTGGACACTGTCCTGCCCATAGTGTGGGCTAAGCTGGGACATTGCTTCTGCATCTCCATCCTTCTGGCTGTTGTCACACCTCTTCTCCCACCTACCCATGTGTAGGTACCCTGCTGTTGCTGGCAAACCTGCAGTCTTCTGATTTGCCTTGTGGTCCCCACAGTACATATTTCTACTGAGGCCTTTCATAAGAAAATATTCATAAAAGGGAGTATTCTCCGGACATTCTTTAGGAAGTAGTATTATCAGAAGTAAGACTGTATTATTATTTTTTTTACTAGTATGGTTACTCTGATACTTACTGAGCTTATGTATGGCTCCCACAATATATTAGAGACATGTCTTCCACAGTTTTTCCTCTTACCATTGGCTTTTTGAGTCATGTTAAATTTAATTTTGTTCTATTTTACTCATTGCTCTGAGAATCTTTTGTCCTTTATTATGTCATACAACATATTCACTATCCTTCCAAGGCATATGTCACCCCCAAATAACGTCAAAATATCAAGTGGAGGAAAACCTCAAGAGAAGAGAAGTTAAATACTTCACAGAAGATCCCTTCATGGACATCACTAATTTGCTTCCCCTTTCAAAGTCTGCCCTTATCTCTTCAGTCCTCTATGTTGTAAATCTCTACTTCTCACCCTCTAGGAAAAACCTACTCCAACTCCCAGGAGTTAGTCTGACCCTAGGATCTGGGACTCTCCTCCACAATGCTACTCTGTGGGACACCACCAATCCTCCCAGAGTCTGAGTTGTTGAGTCTAGGATGACGTAGCAGGATGTGGCTACAGAACCATCCAGGCTGGGCTTTGGCACTTCACAGAGGAAGTCCTTCCGAGTCTCTTCACCACATAAAGTGAAACTGTGCTCCCTCATCCTTCCCTAGTACTATTGTGGTCTCCTATCGCAAGAACAACAATCCTTATCTGAATAGTACAGTCTAAATCTATGATAAGGAAGAGAAACATTATCTCATGAAGACATTACCTACATCCATTTTTCTCTGCTTATAATGAAGATAGTGCTTGAATCATTAAGCAAGAAGGTCTGTGTCCCCTCTCCAGGAGCCCACGAATCTAATGTAAGACAAGGCTCGTCATGATGTCTCAGTGGATGACTGAACCATTTATTCCTTGCGGCCGCTATATATGCAGTAAGGCCTGACAGAAACCTTGAAATAAAGTTTACTTTGGGCAAATTAGAATTCTTATTCAGGTCTGTATTTTCTCACTAATCTCCATAAATACAAAGGAAATTATAATAATTCATTATTCCCATTTCAGAGCAAAATCCCAGGGTTAGATTTTGTCTGGTGTTTTAATTTATACCTACTCATTATTTTCCTGAAACAAGAAGAAATGACTTTTGAAAAAAAAATGGGGCCTAGGGGCTTCCCTGGTGGCGCAGTGGTTGCGAGTCTGCCTGCCGATGCAGGGGATGCGGGTTCGTGCCCCAGTCCGGGAAGAACCCACATGCCGCAGAGCGGCTGGGCCCATGAGCCATGGCCACTGAGCCTGCGCGTCCGGAGCCTGTGCTCCGCAACGGGAGAGGCCACAACAGTGAGAGGCCTGCGTACCACAAAAAAAAAAAAAAAACAAACCAAACAAACAAAAAATGGGGCCTTTTCTGGCTTATAAAATATACATTCAGAAACTGCTGATTGATTAAAGTATTTTCTTATTTTTTAAGATATGGGATTTTGAGACAATAGACACTGCTGATACTATAGACGAGACTGGATTATTAGAGATAGAGCCCATTAATGAACTTCAAGTAGACAAGAATGTCAGACTCTTCTCTATGATAAAAATGAATGAAATTGGAAATAACTTTTGGTTGTCTCAGGTAAGATGCACTCTTCTCTCTTTGCTCTTTAAAGTTATCTGGACATTGGGACTTCCCTGGCGGTCCAGTGATTAAGACTTCGCCTTCCAATGCAGGGGGTGCCGGTTTGATCCCTGGTTGGGGAGCTAAGATACCACATACCTCATGGCCAAAAAACCAAAACATAAAACAGAAGCAATACTGTAACAAATTCAATAAAGACTTTAAAAAAATACATTAAAAAAAGTTATCTGGGGCTTCCCTGGTGGCGCAGTGGTTGAGAGTCTGCCTGCTGATGCAGGGGACACGGGTTCGTGCCCCGGTCCAGGAGGATCCCATGTGCAGCGGAGCGGCTGGGCCCGTGAGCCATGGCCGCTGGGCCTGCGCATCCGGAGCCTGTGCTCTGCAATGGGAGAGGCCGCAACAGTGAAAGGCCTGCGTACCGCAAAAAAAAAAAAAAAAAAAAGTTATTTGGACATAAAATTAAAATAGTAGTATAATTTATGGTCACTGTAAATCCATTGTACTATTAAGACTACTGTTGATACTACAATGAAGAGTTCCATAAATTTTGATATTTAATTGACTTGTATTTTATACACAGAAAACAAATTAGCATTTTTATTATGTTAAGTTGACTATAAGTTTTATGAGATTGCTTCATTTATTGTGTCGTTGTGTTCTAAGATGCATGAAAGTTGCTATTGTTTAATTTCAATCACACTTTAAAATATGTGTAAGTTTTTGGTATGTTTTGTCCTTTAACTAAATCATAAAAAAAATTCCTTTAATTTGATAAAAGTCTAAAACGATGAACAAAATACTATTAGGTATTTAATTTTTTAGGATTCCAATGGAGCCATATGGAAGCTTGACCTTAGCTTTTCAAATATTGTAAGTTGCCTATTTTTCTTTTTTTCTAATTCTCATAGTAAAGACCTTTGTTGTTGTTCTTTAAAAGATACTCTTTTTCCATATTTGATCATTGTTGTCATCAAAAACTTGCTCAACATATTCAAAGAATTCATACTGTCTCTGTCTCTTTCTCTCGTTATGACTTTACGTAAAAAAGGATCTATCTCATAACAGAATTTACAAGAAAAGTGGCAATGACAGTGCCTAACATTATACAGTGCTTTACAGGTTTCATAAACATATGGCATTTTAATGTCTATTATCTCATATAATCCTCACAACTACTCTTTTGTAGACAGGCAGTTGCCATCATCTCATTTTACTGATGAAGAAATGGAAACCGGCATTTGAAGTGACTTGTACCAAATCACACAGCCATCAACTGCATCATCTGTCTCTCCTAATTCCAAACTTCAGTGCCCTTTCTATCTTACTATGCCTTTTCTTATTTCTGTTCAGATAAAGTCACACATGATACAGGGTTCTAATTGCATTTCTTTAAACTTGGCCTTAGTTCTGTGTTAACCTATCTTTGAGCTCTAATAGGATCTTTTTGCCTATCTTTGAGCTCTAATAGGATCTTTTTTTTGTTATCAGACCCAAGATCCAGAATGCCTCTTCTCCTTCCATTCTGGAGCCGTTGAAGCCTTGGCCGTCTCTCCTCTCACTTATCTCATGGCCACTACTGGCTTGGACTGTAAGTAGGAACTCATATCTGGACCTTTGTGTTTTGTTTTCAATTCATTTTTTAATGTGTTTGATTAAAGTATTTGAGAATTTTTCCAAAAGGGAAGCTTCTTGATGCAAGTGAGGTGAGTTTCAGGAGAGGGGAAAGGGCCCAAAATACGGCAACCATGGTTATTGCGAGAGATTAAAATAAAGACACATCAATAAGTTACTCGTGAAAATACCATTCATCTTGGTGTTATCCACATTCATGCTTTTCCTTTTCTTTCCATCTCCTTTCTTCCTTCTTGACTTACAGTGAATCTATGTGGACTGTGCAAGGTGAAATTGATCCACCAGTCAGTCATCAGTTGTTTCTTTACTACAGTCGTCCCTTGGTATCTGTGTAGGGATTTGTTCCAGGACTCCACTGATACCAAAATCCACAGATGCTCAAGTCCCTTATATAAAATGGCATAGCATATATATATATATATATAATGGCATATAAACATTATTCATGTTTATAAATTACCTGATTGAGGGTATACATGTAAAGTTTTAACTAAAGAAAGTTCCATTAGATTATCAGTTGATTTAATTTTTATGATGTTTCTTGTTTAGTGCTTAAATGTGAAGTGAGCTAAAGTTATTAAAGATATTTATATATATATATAAATGTTTCTTTTAAAACTGTCTTTCTGTAGGCTCTGTTAGACTCTATGATTTTGCTAGCAAAACTCCTTTGGTTCAGATGAAATTCAAACAAGGAGGTACTGCCCTTACTTGGGTACCACGACGGGTAAGCTTATTGTTATAATGAATTTCTACTAGAATCTATTTGTAAATATGGTATATTAGTGCTATTTCTTAGAAACACAGATATTTTATGACTCTGGATTTTAGAGAAGAACAAAAATTTTAGTTCACTCAGAACGTGATAGAAATCATATCATGACTTTGCTATTGTGGTTTTGGTTCTGTTTTAATGAAAATCTATTGTTATGCCACCTAAAGTTTAGAAATAGTTCCATGTTAAAAAGTAATTACCTGATGGGCTTCCCTGGTGGCGCAGTCGTTGGGAGTCCACCTGCCGATGCAGGGGACACGGGTTCGTGTCCCGGTCCGGGAAGATCCCACATGCTGCGGAGTGGCTAGGCCCATGAGCCATGGCTGCTGAGCTTGTGCGTCCGGAGCCTGTGCTCCGCAACGGGAGAGGCCAGAACAGTGAGAGGCCCGTGTATCGCAAAAAAAAAAAAAAAAAAGTAATTACCTGACAGAACTTTGTGTATCTGTCCTTTTCCTGACTCTGATTCATTCATTCTTTATATTTCCAGCATGTCTGCAACGTGCCAGTCCTGATTCTGGGAATATAGCAATGAACAAAAAGAAAAAAAATATTTGCCCTCATGAATCTCCCACTAGAGTGGGAGACAGGAGGCAGAGACAGACAAAAAACAAAATAAGTAAATTTATGTGATATGTTAGATAATGATAAGAGCTATGGAAAAAATGAGAGATCATTGTTCTAGTTGTCTATTGCTGTGTAATAAACTACCCCAAATGTAGTGGCATAAAACGGCAATCATCTTGTTTTGCTCAGTCTCTGGTTTGGGAATTCGGACAGGTGACAACAAGGATGGATTATCTCTGCTTCACAGTATCTGGGCCCTCAGTAGGGTAGATTTGAATGGTTGGGGCCTAGAGTCATCTGAAGCTTCTTTGTTACAGGTCTGGCACCTGGGTTGAAGGTTAAGCTAAGCTGGGATGTCAACAGCAGTGCTTACCTGAAGCCCATGCCACGTGGAGAGGTCATTATCACAGCATGGTGGCCTCAGGGCAGTCACACACTTCTTTATGGCAGCTCAGGGCTCCAAGATATAGTGTTCCAGCAAATAAGGCAGAAGCTGCTGTCCTTTTATGACCTGGCCTCGGAAGTCACATAATGTCACTTGTACCATACTCAGTTGGGTGAAGCAGTCACAAGCTCCCCCCTCCCAGATTCAAGGAGGGAGGGACTTAAACCCCACCTCTCCATGAGAGGCATAGCAAAAAATTGACAGCCAAGTTTTTAAAGTGTCATGGGAATATTTGGGGAATATTCTATCCTTATTGTTTTGGGTTGAGGTCAAAGAGAAAATGTTCCAGGCCCAAAGTAGATGTGGAGGTGGCTGGAATGGAGGGGAATTTCATGATGCGATCAAGACCAGAAGGAGAACTCAGGCCAGGGAATAGAAGCAGAACAATGATGAGGCTGGATTAAGTGGAAATGACAGAGTATTTAGATTACCAAACACGGATCACTCTTTATCCTAATCTATTTACACTCTTACCTAAATTCTTTAAAATACAGCCTATGTAATTGAATCATTTTTTCAGATGCTTGGGCAATGTCCATAGAATGTTTTCTTTTTTAGCCTTATATCCAAGTAATGATCATATGGACATTATGCTTGAATTGCCCCTTCTTCATACCCTCTTGCCTTTCTGGAAAACTGCACATCATTGTTTACAATTTAGCCCAGGTCAGATATCATCTCCTCTGCATAGCCCTCCATGACCCCACCTTCACGTAGAGCTGCGTACTTCTTCCTTTGCGGTTTTTGTTTAAGGACTGCGTATATACCTCTTTTATAGCACTTATCACAGTGTACTAAGATGACTTGCTTTATTGATTGTCTTTCCCACCAGACTGTTTGTTCTTCATGGCGACACCATATCTTATTCATCTTTGTACTTCCAGTGCCTCTAGAGTTACTGGTACATTTAGACACTTAGTAAATGTTTGCATAAACATTCAGTTGGAATTGAATGGAATATAGTTTTCTTATTCCCAAGGTTTTCGTAATTGCCTGGCTTCAGGGATGATCAGTCTGCTCTAAAGAATACCAAGGCTCTTGCCCTTCTCCTGAATGCCTTCTGAGATAGCAGATGTAGTACATTAAGACATTGCTCGATTTATATCTCTGGCCCAGACTTCTCCTCTAAGCTGCAGACTAGGTCAGCTTTCTTTGCTATGTGCTCTCAGAATGTTTATTTCCGTTTACTTATTTCAGTTCATAATTCCATATTCATTTGTGCGGTTGATTAATGTCTGTCCTCCCACTCGACCATACATTTGTAAAAACAGGGGTTGAGACTGTTTATGCTCACACTTGGGTTGCTGGTGATGGGTGCCTGGCACATAGTAGACAGACGCTCCACCAGCTTTTGCTCATTGAATGCTTGGATTGTCATTGTTTACCTGTCTCATGGTCTGCAGTGGTAAGGAACTGTCATAGAAGAGATGGAGGTTACCAGAAAGTAGTATAAGGAATTATTGATTAGCATTTATTTTAGTTAATTATTTAGTTAAATAATTTAAGTCTAAATAAAATACAGAAATCTGTTATGTAGTACAGCTTTCTTAATCAACTAATTTCAGAAACCTTGCATTTCTTTTTTGTCCAAGGTAAGCAACAGTGGAGCACAGATTATTGCAGGATTTGAAGATGGCGTTGTTCGAATTCTTGAACTTTATGATCCAGAAGGGCTCACAAGTTTTGTGGGACGGAAGAGAGTTTCAGATGCAGATATTTGTTTGAAACAGGTTTTCAAACCTCATACTTCTCCTGTCACTGCTTTAGCTTATGATCGTGATGGAGAAGTTCTAGCCACAGGGGTAAGTAGTAGATTTCCTTGTGTTTCCTGTTGAATTTTCCTGGTTAACCCTGCCTTGTTAGTCTTCCTACTTAATGATGCCTTATTTGCTCATATTCCTTTCTGAGAATATATCCCTATTTTGTTTTCTTTGTATTCAGATTCTTTCAGTATAGTCTGTGCATGACATTTAAAAATATTCTTACAAATTGAGTTGTAATGCTTATTTTAAATGAACAGAAATGTTCAACTGGGAATCATGCAACATGTTTTATGTATAATGAACGTTTTATAACCTAGGTATGTTCTTATGTGGAATTGGCCTAAATGAAGAGAATAAACATGTAAATGCTTTATGTATAAATAGGTGAGCGTATGCATTGTGGAATTTTTTGTGAATCTTATATACAGGTATGGTGAGCATCTTTTCAGAAACACATACAAGAAAACATGGTTTGTCAAGTGTTCTCATGGGGAAAATGAAGCAAATATTTGAAACAAGAATGTTCCCAGAATAACCTGGGGAAGTATGATCATTGTAGGTATACGTATACAGTGGGTGTAATATAGCTGTTAAATGCTTCTTTGTACTGTATGCAATATGTTTCATAATAATATATATTTCGGTATCTCTCTTTTTCTTAGAGTAAAGATCAAACTGTCTTCTTCTTTGAAGTGGAAAGGGGTTATAAGCCAATCGGTTATATTACTACTCCTGGACCTGTTTGCCAGTTAACCTGGTCTACAGCCTCTCATGTAAGTAGTTATTTGTCTTCGTGTTTAAATCTCAGTTACTACGTAGTGAAGTGATCTGGTAGATAGACAATAGTGGGTGGAATTATTAGCTCCACTCCTGGGTCCCGCTGTGAGGGGCCAGGGAAGCTGCTCAGCTTTACTAGTGGAGCGTTACTCAGGAGCTTCAAGCCCTTCCCATTACCTCCTCCTTCTTCCATAATCTAATTATTGTATCAGACTTTGCTTCAACAATGGAGACTTCAGCCCAAAACACAACATGTCAGAATGTGTTGAGTGTACTTGTCCTCATGTTTAATCTCTTTACTTCCCTTCTGCTCCCATTCCAGCTCCATTTTCTCTTCTAATCTTCCATTGCCTCTTTTCTAATAACAATTGGGGATTCATTATTGATTACTAATCTTATTTAATGCCCCTAATTTCCCTAATTTTGAGCATAGGATACTTCAGTCACCTGAATATTGATTGAATGTCTAAACCAGGTACTTGTACTAGGGTTCCAGCATAATAATAATGCTGATGAACTGCGTAGAGGTACTGTCAGGATTTTGGAGGTGGGGGGTAACATCTTTAATCTATTTTAAGCTCTTCTAAAGAAAATGGCTATAAAAATATAGTAGTACCTAGAAAAAAATATTTTTTAATTAACAAATACTCATTGTTTTCATCTTTGCTAGGCCCTGGCAATGGATTCAATAAGCAGTATATAACAGTATCTTCTGAAGGAGAAAAAAAAATACACATGTTTAAGAAGTTATATTGGTCTGTGATAGAATTATTTAAGATTTCACAAGGGAATGGGTGACTAAATTATCAGTGATATCAGTGGTATAGACAATACGTGCTGTGAATATAGAGCATGTATATCAAGAAAGGGAATATCAAGAAAGGGAGAAGTTAACACGTGATGTGAGTTAGTTGGGAGGAGGAGAGTGCAAGTTGTGTAGGCGAAGGAAAGAGAGCTGCAAAGGATGCTCTGTGTTAAAGCATGAGCTATTGTATCACAACATATAATATTTTGTGCATCCTTCAATCATTTCCCTATATAACAAAGTTTTAAAAAACGCAGCATTTTTCAGGGGTTGGGAATGATGGGTGGGAAGGGGGTGGGTGTGACTATAAGGGGCAGCTTGAGGGAGATCTTTGTAGTGGTGGGATAGTTTATGTTTTGATTGTGGGTGGTTGCATGAATCTGCACATGTGATAAAATGACACAGAACTATACACACATTCTATATTAATGTTGATTTCCTAGTTTTGATATTGTTGCAGAAGTAACCAGTGGGAGAAACTGGGCAAAAGGTATAAACCTCTTTGTACTATCTTTGCAGCTTCCTATGAATTAATAGTTACTTCAAAATAAGAAACTAAAACAAAAATTAAGGCAGAAAAGACACCCCCCCCCCCAAAACAAAAAAACAATTCAAAAGTCATTTCAGTCAGTGGTGCCAATTAACACTTATATTTCTAGTATTATTTGGGAATTAGTAAAGTAAGTTACTCTCATCTCACAATATATACATGCGCCAAATCATCACGTTATGCACCTTAAACTTACACAATGTTATGTCAGTTATATTACAATGAAGCTGAGGGAAAAAAGTAAATTAACATGTATAGCTGATACTGCACACTTCAGTTGTCCAAATAGCAATAGCTGTTAGCCCCTACCAGCTCACTGGTCAGACCTCCTACCTTCCTGAATGCATTAAGCTTCTGCTCATTATTTTGGTTTCCAATAAAGCTGCATCACACACAGAACCATTCCATCTGCAGTGGTCACTACCATGATCACTTAGGCAGCAGTGTGGAGAAGTTACAAGGGAGCCAAATGAGAGGCAGGTAGATCTATTGGACAGCTGTGTTCCAGAGAAGATGTGACCAAAGTGTGAAAGACCGTGTGGATAAGAGATAGGTAGAATTGACTGAACTTGGTGATCTTCCGAATTTCTGGGGGTGATTTTGATGTGTCTAAATGAAATTCATTAGAGTTTTTCTAAGACATGTTGTTTTTCCTCCTGCATTTTTCTGAGAACACCATTCTCCCCGTTACCTAAACCAGAAAATCTTTAGAGCCATCTCTTCCCTACCTCTAACCACCCTGCTTTGGTGGTTCACCAAGCCCCCCCATTGGTTATGCACCCTAAACATCTGTTAAATCTGTCTCTTCCTCTATGTTGTCTTGTTCCTCTTTGTTTCATGCATTAAGCTTTGAACTTGATCTTCTCTGCCTAAAATGACCTCCTTCTTGTCATCCTAGCACACATCAACTCACTATATTTTAACACACAGTTTACTAATATTTTATTAAGGATTTTTGCATCTACATTCATAACAGAGTGATAATTTCCCCCTTTTGTAATGTCCTTGCCAGGTTTGGAATCAAGGTATTTCTGTTCTCTTTTTTTTTTTTTTTTTTTAAAAAAGTCTTTTCTATTCTCTGGACCTGATTTGTTGTTTGTAGGAGGATTTTTAATAATGGATTGAATTTCTTCAGTAGATGTCTTCTTTTAGCAGTTTATAGTTCTATAATTTCCAACCCACAATTTTATACCCAGTGGTAGTATCTTTCAAAAACGAAAGTAAGTAAACAATAATGTGACTTTTTGGATGAAATGAGCAACTCCTGTTCTCATGCAGCTTAGGGTTGTGCAAATGTTTTAAAGGCAAAGGCCCAGCAGAATGTCAGGCTCCCTTTTCTGCATTTCCCATTTCTCTGGTATCATGTGCCATCAGGTCCTAACTTTCTTGTCACTTTGAACTTCAGCTTGTGTCTATTCATCTCTGAGAGAATGCCTAAAACTTTAGAACACTGCATTCTGTTTGGCTTCTAGGTCCCATGCAGTAATTTGACCAATGCCCTTAGGAGAAAGAAGTGCAGAGAATGCCCAACTCACCTCACCTAGCTTCCCTTCTCCTGCTATCTTGGCTCTTAGAGCTGTGGCTGTACTGGTTTCTCTGTGTTGTCTTGAACTAGCCGGTTTAGCAAAGTTTTCATGTGTCATTGAATTCAGTTTGCTAACATTAGTATTTTTCATCTATGTTTATAAAAAAGATTTGGATGATATTTTCTGTCTTCATAGTTCATCATCAAGTTTGTTATTAAGGTTTTTTTCATCTCCTAAGATGAGTTGTAAACTATTCTCTCTCTCTATTCTCTTGAAGAATTTGTAATATATTAGAATTTTGAGTTTTTGGCAGACTTGGTAGTAGAGCCATAAGAGCATAGGGTTTTTTTTTTGAGGTGCTTTAAAAAAAATTAATTCAATGCCTTTAATGGTTATAATTCTTCTTTTTAAATTTTAAAGTATAATTGACATAAATAAGTCTCAGATATGCGACATGATTTGATAATTGTATACATTGAGAACTGATCACCACAATAAGTCTAGTTAACATCTGTTACCATACATGAGAACTTTTGAGATCTACTCTGAGCAACATTCAAATATGCAGTACAGTATTATTAACTATAGTCATCATGCTGTACATTACATTCCTATGACTTATTTTATCACTGGAAATTTGTACATTTTGAACCCCTCCATTTTAGCATCACCCAGCCCTTGCCTCTGGCAACCACCAGTCTGTTTTCTGTGCCTAATGCTTTTTTCTTTTTTAAAGATTCCACATACAATTGATATCATGCAATATTTGTCTTTCTTTTCCTGACTTATTTCACTTAGCATAATGTCCTCAAGGTCCATCCATATTGTTGCAAATGATAAGATTTCATTCTTTTTTATGGCTGAATAATATTCCATTGTGTACATATAATCACAATGGAATATTTTCTTTATCCATTCACCCTTCAATGAACACATAGTTTGCATATCTTGGCTATTGTAAAGAATATTGTGATAAACTTGAGGGTGCATGTATCTTTTCCAGTTAATGTTTTCATCTCAGATAAATACCCTGAAGTGGGATTGCTGGATCATGCGGTAGTTCTATTTTTAATTTTTTGAAGAATCTCCACAATGTTTTCCATAGTGGCTGTACTGATTTATGTTCTCACCAACAGTGCACAAGGGTTCCCTTTTCTCTACATCTTAGCCAACATTTCTTGTCTTTTTGATAATAGCTATTCTAACAGGTGTGAGGCGATATCTCATTGTGGTTTTGATTTGCAGTTCCCTGATGATTAGTGATGTTGAGCATATCTTCATGTACTTGTTGTCTGTCTCTGTGTCTTCTTTGGAAAAATGTCTGTTCAGCTCTTCTGCCCCCTTTATAATTGGATTCTTTGTGCTTTTTTTTTTTTGCTAATGAGTTGTATGAGTTCTTTATGTATTTTGGATGTTAATCCCTTTTCAGATAGATTATTTGCAAATATTTTTGCTTATTCATAAGGTTGCCTTTCATTTTGTTGAGTTCTTTGCTGTGCAAAAGCTTTTTTAGTTTGATGTAGTCTCACTTTGTTTTTGTTTTGTTTTTGTTTTTGCTTTTGTTGCCTTTGCTTTTGGTGTCAGATCCAAAAGCTCATTGCAAAGACCAATGACAAGGTCAAGGAACTTACTGCCTATGTTTTCTGTAAGGAGTTTTATGGTTTCAGGTCTTACGTTCAAGTCTTTAATTTGTTTTGAGTTAATTTTTGTGCACGGTATAAGATAGTAGTCCAGTTTCATCCTTTTGCCTGTGGCTGTCCAGTTTTCCCAGCACCATTTATTGAAGAGACTGTCTTAACCCCCTTGTGTAGTCTTGGCTCCTTTGTCATAAATTAATTTACCACATATATGTGGATTTATTTTTGGGTTCTCTATTCTGTTCCATTGATCTCTATGACTGTTTTTATGCCAATACCTTATTGTTTTGATTACTATAGCTTTGCAGTATAGTTTGAAATCAGGTAGTGTGATGCCTCCAGCTTTGACTTCTTTCTCAAGATTGCTTTGGCTATTCAGGGTCTCTTGTGGGTCCAATCAGATGTATTCTTCTTGGTTTAATTTTGATAAGTACATTTTTCCCCCCTAGGGAACTTGTTTATTTCCTTAGAATTTTCA